GCGTGCGTGCGTGCGTGCGTGCGTGCGTGCGTGCGTGCGTGCGTGCGCGCGCGCGTGCGTGCGTGTGTGTGTGTCTGGCATCTTACCTATGCAAACAGCTGGACTGATCATAGATCATAGAATTGTCAAATTGAAAAGATAGAGCATTTATTTAGCACATTATATCACAGCAAATAATGCACTGGAAAGTTTGCAAAGCTGAAAAGGATCTGTAAAAGCGCGTTGTAATTGTGAGTGTGGGCGCAGGTGGACATGATCCCGGCGGGCGGCGAGGACGGTCCGGGGGGGTCGGGGCTGTCGGGCTGGAAGGCCCGCGTGGCGCGCTGCCTGGCGCCGCACCAGCGGGCCTCCACGGCCGCGCGCCTCAGCGACATGCGCGCGCGCACGTCGCCCGTGGACCTGGGCGCCTGGGCCGGCTACACGCACCGCTGCGACTGCCTCACGCCGCGCACGCTCTCCGCGCACCAGCGGAAGCAGCTGTTGCGGTACCGCCTTCACCGACCTTCGATTTATAAAAATTGCAACTGGGACGCGACTTTCAAGTTACCATTGCAAAATTTCAATAGTCCGGACTTTTTAGTAACAAAATAAAAAATATGTTAATGGAGTAAATCGAGTTGTACTGTAGGATTACGAGGTGGATATTTACTTTTTATTCTGAAAATTGTTACCCTATGCCGAAAAATTAAAACAGAAGACCAAAAAGTCGGATATTTCCGGATAAATCCGGACGGATGGTAACCCTACTTTCGAGTGATACATGTAGTCTTGGATTCGATCCCTAGAAGGCATAATTTGCGAAAAGAAACAATTGTTTCTGGTTATGGTTTTTTTGGGTAATGCCCTGGAGTGAATTCGGTTATTCTGATACACGAGGACAAAGCACTTCCCTAGCGTGAGACCTAATTTATTTATTTATGTAAATACATATAAAGAACTTTGGTATATAGCCACGACAAGAATTTTGTAATACCATTGGTCAATGTTGCAGAATTTCCTTCTTCGGAATGATGCAAGCGGTGAACGAACTGAACAAGACATCGGAAAAGACAGAGACCAGTCAGGAGCCCATCGAAGAAGTCCACGGCACTCGGGAGATCCAGGAGCCTCAAGAGGCGCAGGAGACCGATGACAAACTCGCTTTGCCTGACGCTGATCCACCCGACCTGGATGACAGTAAGTTTTAATCACATCGTGTGACGCTAAGGGCGCCTTTAAATTAAATGCTTCTAGAGCGCTGCAACGGCGCAACTGTGGTGCTTCAGTCATTTTTAGTTCACTATAAGTTTACTATAGTTCATTTCATATAGCACGATTCCGGTGACGATGTTTGAGATTTGAAGTTTCTGGAGATGTAGTGAGTGATGTAAAATCGAATGAAAAAAAATCGATTTAAATATCTTAATCTTGCATGGAGTATTGCAGTCACCTGTGGGATGGCTCAGCGAAGTATCAACTTGCGGTTTTGATTCAATGGAGCGCAGAGCCTTGAGACTTAATGGCGATGATAAGCTCGAATCTAAACTTCATAGTTTAACCCACCGGCGCAAAGTTGCCCGTCTGTCGGTTTTCTATAGAATATATTTCGGTGAGTGTGCCCATGAGCTCCATCTGCTCATCCCGCCCGCCCCTTTTACCATCGGACATCCAGACGTGCGGCGGGATATCTTTGATCTGGAGCACAGACCTCCCGTTTTGTAGTGTGTAGTGGCATCTGTCCCGAAGTTATCTGGCCATAATACACTGCCTTATCAAATATAACATAAAAACTATATTCCGTAATAATTGCATTCATATTTCTAATAAATGACTTTTTAGTTACAGACTCTGATGCGAACTCCGGCACGGCATCTTTAGGTCTATCAACGTCTTCATCTTTAGACTCGGCATCTGAACTTCTCCTGGCTGCAGCAGCCGCTGTAGAGTCAGGAGGATCTGAAGGAGAAGCAGCCCCCGGTGAACTCTGCAGAACGGTCCGACACCTAATGAGGTCTATAGCGTCCATTGAGAGGCTTATGGATCGGGTATTGAAACACTGCGACGAGTGGCCAGCTCCAACTAATAGGAATGATCACGAGGCGAGGTAAGTCTGGAAGTGAATAATCGTGAGGGTTATGAAAATTGAGTATCTGGTTTCTTAGATCAAAGTTGAGGTTTATGAAGAGAAACAATTTTATATCCTTTGATACATGTGGCATCTTCTCCAAACTTCATTTGATCTAGAGCAGATGCGATTGTTAAAAACTATTTAAGTGGTTTCTTAAGCCAAACGATTCATATCTTTACCAAAACAAATCTATAGCAATGAAGGTTACCGGCAACTCCTAGAAATCAAGTATCATTTCGATTAAAGCGTTTCTTCCTTTTGTTCAGAAAACGCGTGGATATGGGTTTGTCGGAAGTAGACCGAAAGTTGATGGCGATGTACAGACGGCTCCCGGAAGTCCATCGCAGACAGCTGCAGGTGTACCGGAAGCAGAAGAAATTGTCTACGGTAGGTAAAGCGAAGGTGAGGCGAAGCCCTGGGCGCAGCGCGGCCGTTGACCAAGGTGCTTGTCGCGCAGGTGTGCATGCAGCTGGTGGGCGGGCGCGCGCCGGCGCCGCCGCCTCCCGGCTCGCCGCCCGCTGCGCCGCACCAGCCACTGCGGGCGCTCTGCCCCGAGTACCACCTGCAGCGGTTCCGGGAGGTACGCCCCGCGCCATTCGCCCGGCCCGCACATTCCGAGTACGTAGTGATCTTGCACTGTCTGCCCAGGTCCGCCGCAAGGTGATGCATATGAGAGACCAGCAACTCTACTACCATAGGCTACGGATGTGGCTCGAAGATCAGCTACGCCAGGAACGGGAAAGGTTACTGCAATTTCTTCTAAAATTAAAAACAGAAAAGTTGTAGACTTCCAATTAAGTTACGCAACAATATTTAAAATATGTGATAAAAGTTTTTAGGGATTCGTTACGTTTCTTGGAAACGAAACAATTTTTTGATCTAAATCACAAGAAACATCATGTATTTGTTTTTTAAACTAACCAACTTATCCCTTGGTCACGGCTGACAGGTGGTATCCGTCATCAACCAGTTATGTCTAGTATTGATCCGATCCGAAAAAACTTTCATTCACAATGTGTGATAAAGATTTTTCTGAGATTTCTGATAATTCTAAGTCGACCGCACCAGTTACACCACGCCCCCGACCCTCCAAGGACGCGGGACATGACGATAAAGTGAATAATAGCGCGGAAGCGGACGGCTGGCGCAATTATGATTATAAATTGCGCCTGCCCGCTCTCCGCTCGAAAATCTAATGAAGAAGGTTCTAAGGTCGTAAGAAGTCCTTGGAAAACTCCAGTTTCGAAAAGTATTTTTTAAATAAATTATCATATAAACATATTTCTGTCCAACAGCTTACCTGAAAGCAACGTTACTCTAGTAGAAGACTTACCGCGTCGCAAAAGACGTACAGCCAGTCCCAAAGTGCCACGATTAACCTCAGCCTCTAAACGAAAACTCAAACCCGTATCACCATCTATCTCTAAACCTCACAAAATCTTGCAAATGCTTAAAAGCAAAGCGCCACAGAATAGCGAAATAAAAGACGACGAGAAATCCGAAGTGGAACCACCTGAAGCGTTCCCTCTTGAGAAAGAGGACAATATATCCGACACAGAAACGATTGTGGGTGAGAAAGATGACCTATGTAAAGAAATGAAAGAATGTCTGGCTAAATTTGCTAATTTTGCAGTAAATAGTCCCGACGATGATAACCTAGAAGAAGAATATAATACACAGGCTGATGATAAGTTCGAATCCGTAAGTCCTCCGTTGCAAGAGATGTCGCCTACTACTTCGGAACCTATGCCACTGTACAATAGAACTAAATTAGTACCCGTTAATAAAGTTTTTAACCGCGATGACACTAATGGACACAATGAAAATAATGATACTAAAGAAAACGATGACATTGAAAATAGTGAAGCTCAAATTAATGATATAGTTGATGATGGCAAAGATCCTAATATTTACAAATATGTTTCGTTCGGTATTGAAATTAAGAGAGCTATGGAGGAATGTCAGAATATAATCAATTCTTATAATAGTATTAAGGACACTAAGGAAGGGAAGGAACAAGATGAAGGCCCGTTGACTATAGAACAGATATGCGAAGTCATGATGAGTTTGGATAAAAATTCTGCCGAGTTTTTAGACAAAATTGACTCGGATGATCCCATCGACGTAGCTGCTAATGGTAAACTTGCTGAATTAATAGAAAATATGCCACAAATCTTAGCTAATATGCCCGAGATTGCCTCAAAACTATCCGAATTTGCCAACGCGTCGTTCGAGCTACCTGAATTTGCGTCTATTATGAACAGTCTACCTGACGTTAATAACGAAGCTCAGTTAACACCGGAAACGCTTAAACAAATTCGTGAATTAAAATTAAATAAGTCTAGAGATAATATCAAAGTGACTAAGAACACTGCCAAACGTAAAAGTAATCGTAGAATTAAGAACAACATAGATTCAAATGATATCATAGGCACAATGACTTTTGAGCTCGACAGTAAAGATTTAACCGAACTCTTGAAAGATGAAAAGGAGATACAGGCCATGATGAAGAATAAATCTAATAACAAAGAAGAATTCAAAGATCTTCTCTTCTCTATATCTGCTCAAGTTGTTATCAACAAAGTGTTTGAATATTTAAAACAGAATAAAAGCCCTGAATTAGCTAAATGTTTGGAAGAAGATAAAGAACTGTTCTCTCTACCGAAGAGCCGTATAAATTCAGAAATGTATTCAAAGGCGTCTACTTTATTTGATAATTCTGTTAAAGATGCCTTAAGTATGGACGAATTACGAGACCTTGTGAAGTCTAGGTTTAATTCGTGGAAACACTATGTCGTTACAAAATTTAAGAGCATACCAATGGAATTACTCGAGAATGAAATTGAAGCGATGCTGGATAAGTTCTATAGTTACATACAAGATTTAGCGGGTAAACAATGTGTGAATGACAGTGACAAAATTATTGAAAAGATCGACGACCTACGCAAAAATCAAGTCGATAATGATTCAGATACCGAAAGTTGTCCCGCTTCAAAAGAATCTTTAAAACAAATAACCAAACTGCTTAGCACCTCCGCAGGGAACACGTTCGATTTGCTCATTATGAAATTATCAAACATGTCACAAGATAAAAAGTCTACAGTTAAAAGTCTAAAGTTTAAATACATGGATGTGATAAAACGTTGTGCAGATTCCCAACAGTTAGCCGGCTGGATATTATTAGACCCTGAAATTGCCGTCAATGTTATACAAGAACTGACAGGTTTACCAATTAGAAAAACGGAAAGCGTTCCTGATTTTAATTCAATGCCGAATGACAAGAAAAAGGATTACTTCATAGATCGGTTACGAGAAAGTAATAGGAGTTATATGGAGACGTTGCCGAAAAAAGGTTTGACAGGTGATGAATGGCTGGTAATGTTATATAGGTTAGAACAACTTGAGGATAGACTCAAAGACGCCTTTTCTAAAGTTACTGTAACGCCTCCTAAACCTGTGCAAAACCAAATGCAGATTGCTAGCGAAGCCGAAATTCTAGCAGCCAAAGGTCTTAGCAAAATCATTGGAAAAGCTAATGCTAGAGTAGCCAAAAAGGATGCCCCAAAACCGAAGTTAGAAGAAAAGATTATCGACTCACGTAAAGTAGATAATGACGATAAGAAACTGAAAAACGAAGCTTTACTATCCAAATGTGAAGCGATATTGACGTCCAAAGGAGAAAAATCATTACTCGATAGCTTCTATACCATCAAATCTTATATCACTCAAGGGCTGCCTGTACCGGACACTTATAAAAAACACGTGATATCCATTTGTTCAAGTATAGATGCTAAATTGCTTAACGATGAGATGGAAGAGTGCTGTAAAGAGGAAAAACAAGATGATGACAAGGCACCGCTGTCAGTGATTGGGTCACAAAATCCCGAACTTTTGGCCAAATATTCGGCCCAAGCTTTGAGGAATGCAAAGCAAACCTTAAATGCTGTGGCGTTTAAAAACATGATGAAAAATGGACAATCCAAGTCCGAATCAGATACTTGCGATACACCAAAAAGCGACTGCAAATGGACAAATGATTGCATTTGCAATTCATGCAAAGACAGTGACAATTCTGTCTGCCTCGGTGATATTGTTAAATGTTATGATGAGAAAGGCAAGAACGGATTGGAAGAGAAGAAGAAAGAAGTGAAGAAACAAACTGTGCAGAAACCTGTGAAGCCACAGGTCAAGTGCGAGAACAGTACTCATCAACAACATGTTTGCAAAGGTTAGTATATAAAAAAAAGTTTTACACGTAATACATTTCAAATGCAAAATAACAATTGATGCAGTAATATTTCGGGTGAATTTCAACATATATTTGGTAATGGACCGACTTCAAAGTGCCCAATACTTTTTCCCTATAGACCGTGTTTTTTGAAGACTGAATAAAATGACATTTACAGGGCCACCAGTTTTCATAAAATTTTAAATAGTCATGTAGTTGTTGTCGACATTGTTATCGATAGATTGTGAAAGAAGGTAAAATTTTGCTAAAAAGTTTGCGGTAAAACGTTATTCAGTTTCGGAAATAAATTAAAAATATACAATTGATTGCAAACTAACAAACAAAAAGAATACCATTGAAAATGCTTCGATTTGTTATCTTTTTAACGACAAAAAGTTTTCATCAGTTTTCTTAATTGTAAATTAATTTTAATTTCAACATTTCTAAAATGATTTTCTAAATAGTTTTACATTTCTTTTTTATATTTTATACTTCTTTTTATATTTTAAATTTCATTTGCATGTCATAATCATACTCCATACACAATATATCAATCCGCGTTACTGGTATATAAAAATCACAATATGTAAGTACTGCATTTCACAAAGGGTATGTCAATATTTTAATTAATTGTAAATTGTAAATGTAAATGTAATTTTTTCATTTAATATCTCTTATGTTTACTTAACTTGTTACAAATTTGTGGAGGAAATAAAGAATTTACTTACTTACTTACTTACTTACTAATATAGCACGAGAATACTGTGATGAACAACTTATTTTTTTCCATGACCCAACACTATTATAGTCAAAGTCAAATAATTTGATTCCATAGGTAAAATTTTTATACTTGAAAACGTCATTTTTTAATTTATTGCTCGTTCGCGTCAGAGAGTTCTCCCCGAGAAGAACGCGCAAGAAATTCTAGGCATTGCTCTTTTCAAATAAACTTGAATGCTGTGGAATACACTGTGAATCATAATTTTGTGCAATCCAGACTCATGTTGTCTTTCCATACATCTTTATTTAACACATACTCTTCAATTTCGTAATATGACTTTTGAACTAAAATAGTTTTAACGTAAGTTTTAAACTTTGGAAATGATAATATATGCTTTGGAATTTTGTTGTTTTAGTTGCACGGAATCGTGGTACCGTGAGTTCGGACTTAGTTCTAAAGTTAATATTATGGATATCTTTTATCGAGTGAAAAGTGATTATTCAGCACATTATGGTTATTTCGCGTGAATGCGTCCCGCAGGCGGCCATGGCAGCAACGGCGGCAACGCGTGCGCAGGCGACGCGGGCGCCGACCAGCCATGCACCTGCTGCTATTGCACTGTCTTCGGACACGCCGTAAGTACATCCTGAAATTACTGGTTTTCCTGTTAGGTTCAATTTATAATGGAAGATAATTTTTGTGACCACAGCATAATGAAAATTATTGCAAACGTGTCACGTAGAAACTAAATAAGAGCCAAAAAACAAAGTCGCGTGTTATCCAGAGAATTATCGCACAGTCTTGGGAATTGTGGCAGTTATTAAGTCGGTTAAAAAGTACTAATTTGTACTTTTTAACAGACTTCAAAAAAAGGAGGAGGTTTCAAAAAAAATTCTGTCGTATTAAGATACGACAGATTTTTTTTTGTATATCTTACGCGATTACCGGGCATTTGAGAACCGATTTCGAGGATTCGTTTTTTGTTAGAAATAGGGTACGTCACATGTTGTCATTTAAATTTAAAGAAAATATCCCACCTCCAAGGGTGGCAAACTAGGGGATGAATCCGGTTTCGCGCACTCCTGTAACCGATTTCAATAAAACTTGGCAAATAGATGTAATTCCACAAATTTTTGAGGCCGAGTTTTTTTTAAATAAAAAAATTACAATTACTTTTTATGAAAACCAAATGACGGGACGAACAAGTCGTGCGCCTGGTGGTAAGCGACACGCCTGTCCATACCACTTACAATGCCATTTACGAACAGAACCTGAGGAGCACTGCCACTGCCCACGGCACCTTGAGACATAAGTTGACGAATCCCACGTGCCTGTAATTTTACCGACACCCTTCAAAATCGATTTTTGTTATATATTTGTTTATATTAAAAAAATGCGTTTATATTTAATCCATTAAGCCGCCTTGTTTTTTACTTCGTATTCTTCTTTCGCTATTTTCACACTTTAAAACAAATTTGTACTCATCATTTTTATTAATTTTCAGCCGCCATTAACTACGCCCGTGCCGAGAAACTTTAACGAGACCCGAGAAAGACTGCGCTCCATTCTCAATAAGAAGAAACAGAAGTGTAAAACAGCCAATGTGAGTTCTTTTTACACATATCAAAGTGCACCACCAGTGGAGCAAGAACAAATCTCCCATCAAGCGGAGTGACAGTCATGTCTTTTTTGAAGATGGAGTAAATATAATAAATCATTTATTTGGCATCCAGGGCCCACTTGTTAGTAATTACAGACAATTCTAACTTACGACTAAACAAAAAAACAAATTATTACGCTCGAGGCGCCGACTACCCCATCACCTCGCCAGAACCTGGATGAAATGACGAACCACCGGCGCATCGAGCTTAGCCGGAAACGTTTTCAGGACGCTGTTAGGACTAGAACGCAGTCTATTAGTGACGTCGTCTTTTTTCACATCACAGCAAAAAAAGTCATCAGTTCTCTTGACGAAACATCGACGTTGCGCTTCTATGTGGCGATAGTGCCAACAGCACTCTGAAACCGTTATTATATTGAACGCGCAGGTCGCCGAGTGCCTTCTGCGTATAGTTAACCCACAGACCACCCGTATAGAAGCATAAATTCCCGTGTAAAATGACAGTTTATTACGCAAAAGTGTTGCTCGCTTGCAAGCGGCTAGTGATTGCTGTCGATAAATATTCTATCGACTAACGATTGTATGTAGGTCGCGCTTAAATAGTCGAACTTGTTTCATTTCAATTCTCATGGGCCCATTAACTAAATGTTTTTTGTATTATGATCAATAAAAATAAAAGATATAAACTGTCCATCCATTTGGGAGCTGCGATGCCACAAACAGACGTAGAGACTCACAGATAAAGGCGTCAGACTTATTTATATCTCTCTTTTATCCGGATCAGTGTTAAGAAGTCAATTGTTGCGCGACCACTATAGTCTGTCATTTTGAAGACTGAGTAAAATGACATCTGCAGGGTTGCCAGTTTCTTAAAATTTTAATTAGACGTGTAGTTGTTGTCGACAGTTTTATCGATAGATTTTGAAAGAAGTTAAAATTTTGCCAAAAATGTCTGAATTACGAATATTTCGACTTTCTAATGTTTACTAATTGCGTTATTGCCTTCTTTATTCATATTTTAACAGTTGGCCTACTAGTATCGAAACCAATTCTTATACATATACATTTTAACAAGAACGCCTGTTTTTGGATTTCATCATTATCTATATAGAATTAAAATGAAAAACTTATTTTAAAGAGTCCTCTTTGTATTTTTAATAAATGTAATTATAAAGGCAGTATATATGAACTCACAAAAATTGACAATTCAAATGAACCTATGCCCAACAGTTGGGCGAATAATGAACCGATGATGATTCAAATGAAACAAATTCGACTATTGCATAAGCGTGACCAACATTCAGTCGATCGTCGATAGAATATTTACCTGACTGCAATCACTAGCTGCTCGCAAGCGGGCAAAATTTTTTCACAATGATCTGTCATTTTACTCCGTCTTCAAAAATACCAGACTATACATATGCAAATCCGCGCTCTGGTTAATATACAGGGAATTCCCTAATTTGAGAGCAGGTGATTGGTATGATTGCCTGCCACGTTAACATTTATTCTCTTTTATTTATTATCGCCACGCCTAAGGTTCTATTATAATGTAAATTACATATGTGGCATTCTTTTCAATCACAACAGCTTTTAATAGAGTATCTTTCTTCGCATATACTTCTTCCAACTTCATTCTACTTCATAGGACTACTACTATCATTGCCCTAAATAGGCCTTGACCTCATTTCGATCCTCTGGATCTGGACTAATCTCTGATCCTTACGATCGGCCTCCACACACACCCCTACACCCCTTCTCTGCCAACTCATGCCCCGTTATACCTTCAGTACAAGTGGCGGGTTTCATTCTAAATCTGTTACTTCTTCGTCATACTCTATCTTCAGCCTATCTAGACAACAAATATTGTATCTAAGTTAGTAATAAGCATTGTGCAAACTTACCAACTGTAGTGCCGACCGACCAGTGCACTCCCAGTAGACGCCTAATATCTCACCATCAGAATTTAGGATGCCTGGACTGCCGGGCTAGTTCCCTACTCTTAGGTATCATAATAGACTAAATTTGTTAATGCTGATGTTACAAACTGATCACCTATGGATCAGAAACGTGGTCCTTCACTATGGGCGTCATAAGAAGGCTCAAGGTCACTCAGCGGTCAATGGAGAGAGCGATGCTCGGTATTTCCATACGCGATAGAATCAGAAATGAGGAAATCCGTAGGATAACTAAGGTAACCGACATAGCTTGAAGAATTCCTCAGCTGAAGTGGCAGTGGGCGGAGCACATGGCTAGAGATCCGATGGCCGTTGGGGTGGAAAGGTTCTTCAATGGCGACCGCGCATAATGATGGCGATGATTATGATGATATTCGGTTATTTTCGGTGATAAAATTGTTTTTATCATATTATTATGTATGTTAGTCTATAAGGTGTGTGTTTTATGGGTCTTTTGTAACCTGAAAATAATTAAAAAATAAAAATATTACAGAATTAATAGTAATCGCGACTGCATTGTTAATTTATATTGTCTTTATTATAACATTGCTTATGAAATAAAGTATTTGTCACCAGGGCGACCAAGAACCGAAGTCGCCAGCGCCCCCTGCCCAGCAACCGGTTGAAGCCAGCCAGCAACCGCCGAAACCGAAGCAGCCGTCGCCGCAGCAGCCGATCGCACAGCCACAGCCCCCGGTGAGTCCGTAACTACACAAAGTCGTTACGTAATACGACAATCTAATTCCGTTTCGACTTTATAATATTGTTAAGTTATAATTTGTATTTATATTATTAGAGCTTCTTATGAAAGAGCTCGCTCAGAGAAGTATTGTCACCATACCTATTTCTGCAGCCAAGCGGTATGGATAACCATCCCGCTTACCACCAGCACGACCTCTTCGTCCTGTGACTCGGTATCATAAAAAAATACCTCCATTTACGTCTCATGCACCCCCTATTTTTTTCACTGACATGGAGTACTTATAGGTTGGAATGGACCCCTGGGGATCGACGCCACTTTGATAATCGTCTCTGATGTTATAAGATCACAATAATGACACGTAGATCACCTTAGAAGGTTACACTTGAAAACACGTCGAACGCTTGTCTCAGGCGCTGCCGAAAACCCTACCACCGGCGCTGAGCACTGCTCAGGCGCAGGCGATACAGCAGAAACGCGCCGCGGCATTGTTGCAGCAGCAGCAACTGGCCGAAAAGATGGCCAAGATGGTTGTCACCGAGAAACCAGATAACAAACCTAAGGTATGTTAAATAAAGTGACAGTAACCGTTTTTCGACTGTGTGACATTGAAGAACTGTCAAATTTGTAACCGACTTAAAAAAAATGAGGAGAAGGCTTTTGTGAACCGATTTAATGATTCTTTTTTTTGTTCGAAAGTGGTTACCTCAGTTGAGTTGAATTGATCGTAAAGAAAATATTCCACCTCTAATTCGCCGACACCCGATTAAAAATCGGGACCCGACAGCCCACTAGTCGGCTGTAAGGGTGGCAAACTAGGGGATGAATCTGGTTTAGTGCACTTTCCAGTAACCGATCGTAATAAAACTTGACAAATAGATGTTTCACGAACTTTTGAGGTCGGTTTTTTTTAATAAAAATTTACTATTCAGTGTTTTATTGAATGTCAGGACGTTTCACTATCATGATATTCAATTATTTTTTGTGAAATTACTCCATTAGTTTGTTATAATTATTAATACAAAAATTATTAATACGACTGAATTCGAACCGACGTCTTCTAACAAACCGTTCCAGACGCTATGCCAACTAAGCCGTATCGATGGATTTTTTTCTAAGGGTTCGATCTTTGTATTAATAATTGTAATAAATTTACGATTATTAGAGAATTATTTGATTAACTTTTTGCACTCGTCCATGGTAATAATTTAATTATAATAATATTAATATGCCAGTCTACCTACCAGACTATGAGTACCAGAGCGACAGAATTTATCCAGAACACCCAGAAGCACTTTAGACTTTTCTAAATTGCTTCTGAGTGCAACTTAATTTACATTTATATAATAAAACTTTTTTATTTCCTAAATTGGTCCTAACGGGAATCGAACCCAGGTCCTCCTCACAGTGCTAACCGCTGGGCAATTTAGGTCGTCGTAAATGTAAATTAAGGGGCAATACTGATGTAGACATAGCTTTATATCTGCAGAAAAAAGATCATACAATCCATTTCATAAACAAATGTTCTTCTAGGTCTTACAACGCACTGTGCCTGTCCAAGTCAATGTTCCGCCCGTCCTAAAAACAGAAGGTAAAGTGAATCCAAACGCAATGGAACAAATTCGGCTGCAACAACTGAAACAACAGCAGTTACAGCAGCAACAAATTCAGCAACAACAGCAGATACAGCAACAACAACAAATACAACAGCAACAGAAAAAACCAGAGCCGATATACGACTTGCCGATACACAACAAACCGACTTTGACGCCGCAACAACAGCAGCAGATACGACAACAACAATTGCAAAGGCAGAGTCGACCACAGCAGAGAGCTATCTCGCTATCTAGTAGAGATACTAGCGTCTTCTCTACATCTTCTGGCTGTGATGGGTAAGATTTTAATACACTACTATAAAACAAAAAACCGTGATAGTTACAACAACAAAACGTTAAATCAGTTTTTCCATTGACTTACAAATAAATGGACGACGGGTCTAATACAAAAACCACGAAAAAAATGTCCCAAGTCAACCTATTCGAAATTTAAATTGTAATGTCATCGCAGTATCGCGCTGTCAGTAGAACAAATGAAGACTAAAGCGGAGTTTGGCGCTCTGTATACGATTTTAGCGCCTTACAAGTGCGGACACTTTTTAGCGCGGACCCGACGTCCATATAATTGTAAGTCAATGAATTTTTTTAATAAAAATCCCGAAATTGTGTACAAGTTATAAAAAAAATCCTAGCTCATTTTAATAAAGTTTATTATAAGATCAATGGTTATACAGATGGTACAATCGCCTGGTACAGTTCCAGCCATCGAGTATATAACCAGAAATAGAGACGAAATAAGGGCCATCCAGCCCTGGCAACTCATCAGGCAAATGGGCCTTATATCAATTTTAAATGTTAACAATAAATGTTAAAAATATCAACTCTCGTTTGCACTGAAATGGCAAATTAGAAATCTGAAAAAGTACAGCGCCATCAACTGACCAGTGTGTACGTCTCCGTGTATTCCAAAAATATTCTGTATTTATTTTTAATAAAGATAATATCTCTAACAATGGTGTTCTAAAACTGTTCCATTCGGTGGTGTAGGGAAAACAGCAAAATATTTAATTACAAAACAAACGGTATCACATTTCATCGGTAATTAAATATTAAATGTGTAATTTTTCAATTTTCGTCCATTGTAGCAAAGGTCAAGTTAAACTGGTCGATTTGAAGTGAAACAGTTTATGACACCCGTCAATTGTTTCGATTTCGAGCTGGCCAATCGAAGCGCAGTTGCCACCGTAATGATTTGGCAGAATAGTTTTCAAACAAAGTAAATGACATTTCGTCTCTATTTCTGGTTGTATACTGCTTCCAATTATTCACCGTAAAAGAAAAAAACAATCTCAGTACAGGTCTCCTACTCGGGGTCTACTCTCGATCTCCGTCCGACATTCGTCCGAAACAATTACTGTCAAATAAGTAATATTCGACAAAATTAAATGACAAGTATCAAGAATGTAGCTTCTTTCGCATCACGCGTCTTTTCATTTGGTCAAGTATTGCTTATTTGGCAGTAATTGTTTCGGACGGATGTCGGACGGAGATCAAGAGTAGACCCCCTGAGTACTAAAAAAACCGACCTGAAAAGTACGTGGAATTACATCTATTTGCCAAGTTTTATTGAAATCGGTTACCGAAAGTGCGCAAAACCCGATTCATTCCTTCAAAGTGACAGGACAACACTGTCGCTTTGAAATGAAATAGTAATATAAATAAAATATTTATATAATTTAAAGCAATATTCAGACAATATTATGTTGTCATGTGCGATGTATGAAAATTTAGGTTATGTTAATAAGAATGCCATTTTGTTTTTTAAATAGTGATATACTAGATATAACTGATTGTTTTTGACAGTTGTCCTCACAAGGTCATACATTCAGTTAAGGGGAAACGGTTATATAAAAAAATCGGTTGGTATTGCCATTTACGAGGTTTAAAGCGAAATAAAACTTTACTATAAAATCCATGGTATTGAGTAACCCGTTTAGCTCTTGCCGGTCCCGGTTTTTAATATTTGAAATATATGTTGTAAATGATAAATGTGTACAAACGTTTACTTACAAGGAGAGTTTTTTTACTTATATTCATCTTAAGGGAAACTGCCTTACGGAATTGAAATTAACGTGACAATATCAAGTATAATTTGCTTACAAGCTACGAAGTAAAAAGTATTTTATTTAAAGACCAAAGTTACAATATCTAAGTCGGTTTTTTTCCACGTCAAAGCTAATAGAATATATTACATCGCAGCACCGAAGACCCCCGCGACCTGGACGCGCTGCTGCAGTACATCGAGGGCCCAGCCAGGCACATCGACCGCGGCAAGAAGCGTGCCAAGAAGCAGCGCCAAAAGGCCAAACGGGTGGGTGTTTGTGTGTGTTTTTGGGAGTGGGGCCGTGGTGTGACGATAGGAGAAGCATGGTAACTCTGTACAAACTAATAGCGCGGTTTGTATGTGTGCGCGACTGCCTCGCGCCGTGTACGGATGCACACATTCGCATAATAATGAAAGGCGCGTTGGGACGACCAGTGGCAACGTGAGCGCATCGCGTGGTTATGCGAATGTGTGCTACGTTGGAATGGAGTTACCAAGGCTGTGCGCGTGCGCAGATGGAGGCGCGGCTGGCCGACGAGCGGTCGGCCGTGGCCGAGGCGCTGGGCATCGCGCGCGCCACGCTGGAGGCGCGGCGGCAGGCGCACCTGGCCGCGCGCAGGCGCCTCGACGACCTGCGCAAGGCGCTGCACCACCTCAACAAGACCAAGAAGAAAGGTGAGCCTGTCTTATGCTATCTTAAAGTACAAAGTTACTGAAATGCAAAAAATGCATTGCATATACAAATTTTGCAGGCTGATTTCACGTCACATTTCTTTCATATTCCCCACCTATTCTTAAAGTAATGCCTCCAAATTAACACCCCTGATAAGAAATTTAAATAAATAGAAAGTTTTGCCATCGCCTAAACAATCACTCTTTATAAGATACGAGTTTGAAAGTAAGGCATCGAAATGTAATCAAATTACACATATCAAAAATGTCCAGGGATCGAGCACGGTCTTGCTAATTACTGAAAATCAGGTGTTTTGACGACTTTTTTGCTCAATTTCATTTTGAAAGTCAAATTATAAAATTGACCAAATCACTGGTGCATAACCTATGTTTATTCCTTTACAAATCCAATATTTCGGATCGGTAATGTACATACGAAGAATAATCTAAGTCCAGAGTACTAAAAAGACCGACCTCAAAAGTCATGCATCCCCTAGTTTTGCACTCTTAAAGTATGAACATTTTCTTCAAATTTAAATGAGACCACTACTGACCCTCTTTATAACGAAAAAGAATCGTCAAAATCGGTTCACAAACGCCGTAATCGGTTCACGTACGAGTTATCGCGTAACGTGTATACAAAAAAAGTCGTATTGAGAATTTCCTCCTTTTTTTGAAGTCGGTTAAAAAAATGCTGATGCCCCACTCTCGAAGCGCGAAATCTGTATTTGACTTACAGAACTAATTCTTGAAACTACTACTTGAAAGAATACTCTTGCAATCTGTTAACGAAAAGATCTTTCGTCTAAAAAAATATTTTTTATGTCGTTTCGTATTTACCAAATTCCGTCGTATAATGTTTCTGCCCACGGTTTTGGTCAGAAAGGGGTTAAAACCTTGGGTAAATACACGGTTAATACCCGAGCAGATTTATTCTGATTAATTCACTGCCCATCTCTGTATATATCCAATTTAAAAAAAAACGTTCCATTTGCAGGCAAAAAATCTAAATTAAATCCCGCGCAACAAGGCAAAGTGCAACAATTATCGGAACAGCTTGCGGAATTAACGACGCTCATCACTACACAGGGCAAGGTAAGCGAAGTGGAACCCAATTGCATACATTTAAAGTCGGTTTTATAATACTAAGAGGTGGTAAGCGACACGCCTGTCCTTCAATTCAAAGTGAAACTTCAAGTATAAAATTTTGAAATACATTCCCTAGTGGCGTTGGTTACTTTGGGGTACTGTGCACTTTCAACCTCATGACATTGTTATTTTGGGGCATCATGCACTTTCAAGTTATAGGCGTTAGTTGCTTTGAGGTTCCGTGCGCTTTCAAGCTAGGGGCATTGTGCACTTTCAAAATAAGGACATTCGTTATTTTGGGGCAAAGTGTTTTTACAATTTCTAGACAATGTTGTTTTGGAGCATAGTGCACTTTCAAGCTATAGGCGTTAGTTGCTTTGAGACTCGGTGCACTTTCAAGCTATGGGCATTCGTTACTTTGGGGCATTGTGCAGTTTCAAGATAAAGGCATTCGTTACGTTGGGGCACTTTGCACTTTCAAACTAGGGACACTAGTTGTTTTGGGGCATCATGCGCACTTTCAAGCTATAGGCATTAGTTGCCTTGAGACTACGCGACTTTCAAGCTAAAGGCATACGTTACTTTGTGGCATTGTACACTTTCAAGATAAGGGCATTCCTTACCTTGGGACACTGTACACTTTCAAACTAGGGACACTAGTTCTTTTGGGGCATTATATGCACTTTCAAGTTATAGGCATTATTTGCTTTGAGACTCCCGTAACTCTCAAGCCAGTGGCATACCACTTTGGGACATTGTGCACTTTCAAGATAAGGGCATACGTTACCTTGGGGCACTGTGCACTTTCAAATTAACGACATTAGTTGTTTTGGGGCATCATGCACTTTCAAGCCATAGGCATTAGTTGATTTAAGACTCCATAACTTTCAAGCTAGGGACATGCGTTAGTTTGTGGCATAATGCACTTTCACGCTAAAGGCATCGGCATTGGTTACTTAGTTAATGGATTGAGCTGATAGAGTCTCACCCCTTAAAATATCGATAATTTTACACTCTTTTACGTCATGATTACAGGAGGTCCACGAGTACGAACGCCAAGTGAACGAGTATTCTGACAGACTGCTACTAGTCGACCAGGAATTGACTGAAGCCAGGGCGGTGCTGGGAAAGCCTGTGGAACCCTCGCCGGTAAGCCTTAAATAGAACGTATAGTCGCTTGAGATATAGTTATGTACAGGCCTACCGCTTAATCGAGTCGGTTCCTGAGGCAGCTGCGCGGTGCGGAAGGGGTGACAGTTTACATAACAGTTATAACAAGTTGATTGAACTGCATCCGTGGCCGAACGGTTACCATGCCACGCAGAGGTTCCAGGTTCGATTCCCGAGACGGGAGAAATATTTGTATGGCCTACATTTAATTCTCTCGTGAGTTTGGGTGTAATTTGTGGTTGTCCGCGACACTGGGTTTCCCTGTGGGGCTATGTTGAGTGTACGTTATTATTATTAACCTGCCCAATGGCCTGTGTTGTATGGCCTAAACTCTCACCTGTGAGGAGACCCGTGTCCAACAGTGGGACGTATAAATTGATTGATGATGATCAAACAAACCACTTTTGGAAATGTAATTTATATTTAGAGTAGATGACTTTTTGTATGTTGTAGCAATATTGAAATGTTATTTGAACCCAGATGGAACAAGCGATGCTTCGCAAGCAGCAGCAGCATCTGCAGCAGCTGCAGCAGCGGCAGATGGAGCACGAACGGCAGATGGAGCACGAGCGGCAGCTGGAGCAACAGCGGCAGGCGGTGCTGGAGCAGCAGCGGCTGATGATGCAGCGGATGGAGAAGCCGGCGGGAGGGGGACTTGTGCGCGTGCGCCGCCTGCCAGGCGACGGCGCCGTCACGCTCTCGCTGAAGGGGCACGACGCAGACACGCCCTTGGCTCAGCTGCTGCATAACAACCGGCATCTCACCGGTGAGTATCCAGAGAGAGGTTAAACGTCAGCTAGATAAGACTGGTTAGTCTGCTAACAGATTGCCTGCATGTACGCAGTTAATGCATGAAGTCGTAATCAACTTCATGCAGCCGAGACCACGACTGCATGAAGTCGGTTTCGGTGTCGGTTTCGGAGTAGGGATACTCTTAGGTATCATAACAGACTAAATTTATTAATACTTGATATTACAAAACTAATACTAAAGCGCAACTATAGTGTTCCGGTAGATCCGAATACTTTAATATATTTCTTATTACAGTTTTAAATGTATGCGAAGAACCTTCGACGCCTCCGAAGCCCAAAGACGAGAAGAAACAAACCTGGGAGCAGGCGCTAGCACACATCAACCAGATCGCCAAAGGCACTGGAAAGGAAAAGGTAAGTCACTTTATACCATTCGTAATCAGTTTTTGTGATTGGCTGTTTGAATTTCGTGAAGCAATGTGATTGGTGTCTGCTTTACGCTGTGATTGGCCAGTTCAATGAAGCCGGATTGGCCAGTTTAAATTTTCTGCTTCATTCTTAACGTAAATCATTGTTACTCAAAATTAAAAAGCTGTGCTATAGGAACGACACAATCCAAAATTAATCATTCCAAAATTAACCGTTTTATTGTCTGTATTAACGTTATAGGCAATAATATTGTTATCATGTGTGGCTTCAATTTCTAAAATAAGACTTAACTTGTCACAACGTTTTTTACAAAGTGTGTTTTTGCACAAAGGACAATGTTGGATACTGCCTCGCCACTAAGAAGGTTTGAACATTGTCCTTTGTTTTTCTCATTAAAACAAAAAGTATACTCATAAAATACTGATTAATAAAAACATTGCATGACTAACCAAACATATTTATTAACTACAGAAGAAACAAAAGGAAGTTCATGTAAAGTTGGAGAAGCCGAAGGAGCAGCAGCGGTCACAATCTTTGCCTGACACCACGCAAACCCTGTCCAAGAAGCAACGGAAGCTGCTTGCTAAGCAACAGGTACGGTCCTCAAATTCAAGGTCCCAGAGAGACAAACAAACGCGTGCTGGGTGCTTCTTCTTGTTACTGTATCGAGCGGGGTTGATGCGACTTAGCATCCGCAACCGCTTCTGCATTCATCGATGCTGATATTCATTGCGGATGTTCGAGTCATGATATGACTAAAAGCATCGAGTGTATAACCAGAAATAGAGACGAAATGTCATTTAATTTGTTAAATCATTACGTTGGCAACTGCGCTCCAATTGGCCAGCCCGAATTCGAAACAATTGACGGGTGTCGTCAATTGTTTCACTTCAAATCGACCAGTATTAACTTGAGCTTTGCTGTAATGGACGAAAAATTAAAAATTACATATATCATTACCGATGAAATTGGATCTTTTGCTGTTTTTCCCACACCACCGAATGGAACAGCCCCCCATAGTTAGAGATATTATCTTTATTACAACAAATACAGAATATCTTTGGAATATATGGAGACGTACACACAGGTCAATTGTTGGCGCTGTATTATTTCAGCTTTCGAATTTGTGATTTCAGTGCAAACGAGAGTTAACATTTAAAATTGATATAAGGCCCATTTGCCTGATGAGTTGCCAGGGATGGATGGCCTTTATTTCGTCTCTATTTCTGGTTATATACTCGATGGTCATACTCTATCTTAAGGTTGTCTAGATAACAAATACTGTTTCTAAGTTAGTAATAAACATTGTGCAAACTTACCGACTGTAGTGCCGATTAACCACTGCACTCCCAGCAGACGCCTGATATCTCACCTTCAGAATTTGAGACGCCTGGACTGCCGTGTTAGTTCCCTATTCTTAGGTATCATAACAGACTAAATTGATTAATGCTTGATATTACAAAACTAATACTGAATAGCGACATAATTTGTAAGGCAGATTCCCCTGAGAAGAATGAGTAAGAAAACATAAGTAAATAAAGTTTTGTAATTAATTTTGTGTTTCTTTATCTTCTTCAGGCTGAAGAAGAGGAAAGAAGGCGCCAAGAATCCGAGGCCAAAGCTAAAAAAGCCGAATCAAAAAAGGCCGAAACGAAAGAGGTTAAGAAGCAAGATAAGAGGGCCGAAAAGAAGGCTGAACCTGTTAAGACGAAGAAAAAAGATGAGAAGAAGGAAGCGAAGAAAGAAAAGGCTCCAGAGAAGAAGGGAAAAGATAATAAGCAGGAGAAGAACGGTAAGTTTTGTTGTATAGAGATGGTTTTTATTATCCGACAGAGAACTAAGCTGGTACAATAAGCATGAAGTAGCGCTGGGCTGGCCATATTTGTCGAAGAACCGTTAACCGATGGGGGAAGCGAGTTCTTGAGTGGAGACCACGGTTCGGCAAACGATATCGTACGATTTCTTTTAATTTTTATTCACAATAACCGAATCGACCGTCAAAATTCATATTCGAAACCGAAACGAAATGACGTCACACCCGTACAATTACTCGAAGTTCTCGACCGGCAAAGGCTACAAACGTTATTCAGAACACAGTTATCGAATTAAAGTTACCGAACGTCCTATTGTTTACAAAGCATGAATGTAATACGGAAATCTCTTATTATTTTAAATAAAGTCTGGATTTAGTTAAATTTTATAAATTTATTTTAATGCAAGACTAATATATTCCTACATTTTAGACCTTCAAAGTCATTGACTTAGAAATAAATGGACGACGGGTCTAATACAAAAACCACGAAAAAAGTGTCCCAAGTCAACCTATTTAAACGTAGTGACATGTAAAGGAATATGAAAAAGCTTTTAAATTGTAATGTCATCGCAGTACTGTCTAATTTTGCTTGCTTCGCTGTCAGTCAAACAAACGAAGACTAAAGCGTGAATGACGCTCTGTATACGATTTTAACGCCCTATAATTTCGGACACTTTTTAGCGCTGACCCGACGTCCATATAATTGTAAGTCAATGTTCAACGTCTTAAAAATGTATATGAAAGGAATTTCATTTTTCTTGTCTATTTCACCGACTAACTCTGTAAACGCTGTTGGATAACGATATCGTATCCGAATTGAACGTTTAACTGAATAGCACGAAATGGGGCACATTGGTAGAGGCCTGTGTCTAGCTGTGGACTGCAGTGATGATGGCACATGGAACATGTCAACTTTATGTCTCAGGGTGACAGACCCAGTGGCATTAGTAAGTATTAGTAAGGGCGCGTGACTGTCGCGCTGCTGAAGTGCGTCCAAATTTTCCCATGCCTTCTTTTATTCAGTCGATTGGAATAACTGATATCCCATATTGCAGGGTGTTGTTTTACATTATCTGTAAATTGTTCAATGCATTTTTCATCCATCGTGGTTAATTTGAAAAAATAATATGTACACCTCACTAACCGGGACTGCAACCGAGCGTGACTGCAGCGCGACAGACGCGCGGCCGTCACGAATGCTGCAGCGCGTCTAACAGCGGCTAATTTGAACGCGCCCTAAGTCTTTGCGATTTAAGCTATCTGCCTTTTTACCCCGGGTACGATGCCAATTGACATATTTGTTTATTCTTTGCAGCACTCCAGCCAGTTAAATCGAACAAGCCGTTGCCTGCACAGCCCGCCAAGAAGGAGAAGAAGAAAGAAAACAAAACCCCGGCAGCTGTGCTGGATGGCATACAACTCGTGCACAAAATGGTAACGTTTCTGAGTCCGGCCTTTGCACCCTCGTTCCCCGTCCATGAAGACAGGGCTCATGATGCGAATGAAGCTTCATATTTGACGCTTTTTTACTTTATTCAAACTAATGTTACAACTGGGAAAGTAACTCTATCTGGTACGTTTTCATGCCTAAACTGCTGAACCAATTTTTATGTATTCTGGTAAAACGACAGATGGGTCCTAGGAGAAGGACATAGGCTACTTTTTGTTACAAAAATAAATCTTAAAGTGGGTGAAATGGGGGATGAAGGTTTGTATGGAGAACCAATAAGACTAAAAATTTGTATAGTACAGTAAGCTACTCGAAATGGGAGGTTTTAAAGTTATTCTTCATATTGTATCGATTGGCATATGCCATAGTTTCCCAAAGTGGTCCCTATCGCCCCCGAGTGGACGCTGAGAGTTCTGGGGGGCCAATGCAAGCAACGAAGCAATTCAGGGGCGTTGATGCTGTCCTTTGGGGGTGTTTAAACCTTTGAACCTCGTCGGTAGGAGTAGGATGTGCCGCGTGCAGGTGAGATGGCTATGCAGTTGTAGGTTGGCGCCCCTTACACCCCAAGAGTGGCTGGTAACAGATGGATGCACGCCGCGTCCGATCGACTAGTCTGGAAATCTTTGGGGGCGGCCTATGTTCAGCAGTGGACGTCTTGTTGTCACCGTAATGATTTGGCAAATTAAATGACATTTCGTCTCTATTTCTGGTTATATACTCGATGTGAAACTTATTTATACTTATTATTGATTTATGGTGTATGGTCGTTACATTTGTTTGCACTAAGACGTGCCTGAATGTCGTAAGAGGTTTGACATTCTGGCACGTCCGGTTGCTGCTACAGTTGCATTTACCATAATGTAGAAGGAAAAGGGTCATAGCTAAGTTAACAGCGTGTTATGGACCCTGTAGGAAACTGCAAATTATAGAGAGAGAGGAGGATTAAGGGTTGAAATACAAACCTGCGAAGCAAATTTGAAATTTAAGAATGTGGTTTTTTCTAATGTTTACATGAGTTCATATTTGTACAATTGAAAATTAAAGAATTTTTAAAGTTTGTTAAGTTATTTTATCATAATTTGTGTTTGAAAGAGACTGGTAATTACACTTAAGTAGAAGATTGTAATATAGGATATCAGGTCTCTTACCACAGATAACTTCTCTTGATACTATGTTGCAGATGTTAAATTTAAAGAATGTTACCTTCCTACCGCATTGTGATTATAAATTGATTATATATAATTGGTTTTGATTTCAGGTATCAAGTAACGACCCGTCGGAGAAGCTAGCCTCTTGCAGCATTATGGAGCAACTTAGCTGCGGTGTGCAGGTAAGGGTTACTGCCATTTAGGCCGGGGCCGCACTGGTACGGCGACGCGAGAAAATAGGTGGCCGCATTGCAAAAGCGAGAAGCCTGTGAAACGTCGCTACGTCGCTTAATGGGTGGCCTTATTGAGGTTTGTCGCGTAATTGGTCGCGTTTGTGTTGTGGAAAGAGGTGTGGAGTCTCCTTCGCAACTCTTCGCTCGAATATATCGCGCTCTTTCACACGAACGCCGCGGCAATGCGGCCGCTTAGGTACATCACCGCATATTTTGTCGCAAATCGTGACGAATCGCCGTCGCACCGCTGCTAGTCGTACGAAATTCAAGTGCCGTCGCGAGTCGCTGAACAATTTTATTTAAAGCGGACACCCTCATTACTCGTGTAAATTATGAAATTTCTTTACGATATGAACAAATAAATTTCTGTAGTGCGGCCACCGACATGTGTTTATATGAGTTTTGTTTTCACGAAATCGCCGTCGCTTCGCAGTCGCCTTAGTAATGCGGCCGCGGCCTAACTTATCCGTGACGTTGTTATGGCAAAAGTTAAAAAGAAAACTACGTTGCACAATGTTAAATAAGGATGTTACCACACTTATGAACGCGGAATCGACTTGCGGTCGAAAGATGCTTAATATTCATGCAAAAAGATCTAAAAAAACGTTTATTATACGAGTGGCGGAAATGGAGAATCGGACGGGCGGTGTAACGGCTATTATTTGAAAAAAAAAGGCAAACAGACAAAAATTACCATAAACCAAAGTCTTTAACTGTTGTAAAAAATTTTGTAAAAAGTTGTAAAAAAATGTAATTTTAACATCTTATATATAGGCAATCAAATTAACCCTTTCTCTTAAACAGTGTTACAATTTTACAATTATTGTTATTATAGTTACTATTCTCTACACGGTAAAAACAGATTACTTAGAAAAAGACAAAATTCTTTTTATGAAGACAAATTTATTAAATCCAACAAAACGATCTTCTCCCTATAGACGCTAGAGAATAATTACTTGATAATAGTAAAAAAACGTCTCAAAAGTGTATTTTCGTTACAAGACAGAAATATTTAATCCAAGAGCAAATTAATTTACTTCAAGTCACAAAGCCACTCTAGATTCAACAAAATATTTATTTCTTATTAGAAATGTCCGATTTGGATTTGAAAAAAAAAAAAGAATGAAAAATTGAGAGGTACTTAATTATTTGACTGAAGATTTATGTTTTCTAATATCAAAAAGGATAAATTTACAGGGTTATGGACCCAACAGTGCCAAACCTTAAAGTAGCAGAAATAGGATGGAAATATGGAATCTTCTCAAATACTTGAGGACCATCCAGTGCCGTATAAATGCTACAGCGGCAGAAAGCACTAACAATACCAAATATATGAGATGACTTTATACTATTGAAGTTAACAAAACGATAGCGCGTTTCAGAGTACATCTAATGCCATCTAGCAGTGGCGTGATGGAACTAATTGCATTGTTACAAGTGTAGTTTGATTTCATGCTGTAACCAAATTTCTTAAATTATGACTATAAAGAACACCCTAACAAACTAGAGATACTACGTATTGTTTCTTTGGATAAATGACTGTTTATGATTTTTATGATTACAAGCACAAGTAAAAGTAATCGTTACCGCGTGCGCCTTCGGCGACATGTCACGACAAGATTGACTATGAAAACGTAACGAAATGTTGCTTTAAGAATATACTCTAGAATTTAGAATATTAATCTGAATAGAAAACTACTTCCTTTTTTGTTTAAGAATATATTTTCTTAAAATACACCCAAGAAATTTTGAATTCATTTAAGATTATTTAAATTTGATGTAAGAGGTAAAAATTTCTTGATATAAGTAATGTCCAATTAATTGATTACAAATGAAATAAAATCTTGAAGTGAACGTATTTGTCTCAAAGTTAGAATAAAGTTAAGAGTAAAATTGTATTAGAAAAAGATAAGCAGTATTTTTGTAGTGACAATATTTTATTACTTTTAATAAATATTTTTTCAGAATTAGCAAATATTTTGAGAAATTGCTCTTTCTTATTAGTAGAAATCCTTTTTTTCTGTGTAGTAGAGTGAAAGAGTTTGTCCAGGGAAGACGACGACCATGTGCTTTCCAAGTTTTAAAAGAAATACATCTAAACAAAACGGCACGTACAAAACAAACGGCGCGAAAATCCACAGGTGGCAAGGCGCCATGACAACAACTGACCAGGAACGGGGGCGTCAAGAAACCCCACAGAGGGAAATAAGCGTTATAAAAGAGCACAGAGCTGATTATAAGAAAATTGCCATTTCAAAGATTAGAGAGGGAAATCGCTCAAAACTTTATAACCGATCTTAGGTTTCAAGGTTCAGCTGTAACGGCGCTTCAAGAGGTAAGCGAAGCGTACCTATTAGGATTGATTGAAGACACTAACGTATGTGCTATTCACGCAAAAAGGGCAACTATTATGCCCAAAGATATACAACTGGCTAGAACAGTCAGAGGCGAAAGAGCGTAGTTTATAAATATAAAGATATTTAATTTGCGGTTTATTGTTGTTTTTTCGTTTTGACAAAACCTTTTTGAGGATAGAAAAAAAATCATTCGATGCGGCCGGATTCGAACCGACGTCTCCTAGCAAACGGTGCCAGACGTTAAGCCAATTAAGCCTCGGAACGAACCAGCGGATCTTACAAATTTTTCTATGTGCTTGTTGTCGGACCTTTGTATTTGGTTTTCAACGACTTTTTCAGCCGTAGCTCTATCTATGAGAAATCTATGAAAGGTTTTCGTCACCCAGTTAGGCACCTTTACAGCTACCAACCCAGGCTAGAGATGTCGCTATTAACTGTAATTTAATTTTCATATGTTATCCTTTGTCATTTCTATTACAATAGAGTAATAATAACCATTTACGCTTCTTTTACTCAAAGTGTACATGGACTTAATTATCTTGGTCCATCGTACAAGTTATTACTAGCAGTAGAGCTCCTTGTGAAAGAGTTCGTCCAGGGTGGTACTGCCACCTTACCTACTGGCTGCTGTTCTGTGCTCTAACTTGCCACCTTACTTGTTTCTGCCGCCAAGCAGTTAAGTTAGCATTACTGCCGTCCACTAATTAAAACGCGGTTAATTGACAAGACAGATTCTCCAAGTCTCCAAATTCTTTATTAAAAACGGTTAATATGTCCGACATGTCGGGTAACCGACATACATTTCGTAGCATTAGAGCTCCTTGTGAAACAGTTCGTCCAGGGTAGTACTGCCACCTTACCTATTTCTGCCGCCAAGCAGTAATGTCAGCATTACTGTGTTCCTATTTTGAAGGGTAAGAGTGCTGGTGATGTTACAGGCACAAGGGACTTGTAAACTTATGTCTCACGGTGACAGGCGCAGTGGCAGTGCCCCTCAGATCTATCAGATTTAAAGCTCTAAGTGACACAGCAACTGTTATGGACAGGCGTGTAGCTTACCATCAGGCGCACGACTTGTTCGTCTCGTCACGTAATATTATAAAAAAGTAAAAATGAAATAAAAAAATGCTTTTTCTGAATTCTAGTTTTGAATTATTTATTTACTCATCAGATCATCAGGAACTTCGTAAAATACCGACTGCCTACTCTTTTCTTACGGATCCAACAAAGTTAGTTCCGCATAAAGATTATCAAGTTTAGAAATAAGTGCCAATCATTGACCTTACCAGCAATTGGACGTTGGGTTCGCGCTAAAAAGTGCCCGCACCTATATGGCGTTAAAATCGCATACAGAGCGTCAATCGCGCAACAGTCTTCGTTTGTTCGACTGACAGCGCGGTTGTCAATCATGCTGTACTATATAATAATAATTTGTAAACATATTTTCACTACACAAATATATTGCGTTATCATAGTAATAATTTAAAAGTATTAGTGTCTCCAGTTACCACAAGCGATTGAATATTTAGAACAAAGAAACTGTACAGTCGCTTTGATTTTAATATTATTTTTAAAATTATTTTTTATTAAGCGTTGGCAATAACTAACAAAATATTGTTGTACTCGTTTTACGGCTTGGGATTACCTATCAGAAGTCAGAAAATACATTTGCTCGAATTAACGTTGGCTCGAATTTTCATAAAGTCAAATGTATTTTTTTAGGAATATTACAAAACAAAATCTAATTTTGTCTTTGTGAAAAGCATCAAAATTACTTGAAAGCGTAACGGTTTTATTATAAATAGGTTTTCGGAATTACGGATATTTGAGTTTACGTTTAGTTGGAATATCGGTACATTTCTTATAGTACACGCTTATATTCACATTTGTAGTAATATTTGTATGTATCTGCCCAACTCTTTAATATTTCTTTAAGTGAATTTGTACAAAATTCGACGTAATAATATATATAAAAATTAATTCATATTTACAATAAAGGCTGCTCCATTACTCTTGTTCTTGTTCAAGTAATTTTCAGTTGAAGCTAAATATGATGCATTTTGTTAAGTTTCCAGTAGAAGCTGAATATGGTGTGTCTGGGCCCCTAAATTGTTGCAAGCAAAATTAGGCCGTACTGCAATGACGTTACAATTTAAATTAAATGTTTTAGCTTTTTTTTATATTTCGTTACATGTCACTACGTTTGTATAGGTTAACTTCGGACATTTTTTTCGCGGTTTTTGTATTAGACTCGGCGGCCATTTGTTGGTAGGCGTCAGTGCATTAAAGTGTTTAAACTAGTTGTTTGCACTATACAGATGGCACGTACATTATACCGAGACGGCTCACTCTTTTGTCCTATTGTATTCCAAAGATGAAGCTATAAGACGAATCGATACAAATTGTGTTTCGCCAACTATACTTCTTCTGATCGTTAAGCGCGCTGTATGACACGCAAAAATATGCCCATTGCGGTCAAGCGATATCTGTCTGAAATACGGTACGTGGGTGTATAGTTATTATTATATTTTCACTACTCATGATCTAAAAAAACGCCAATATAGCCTTACGTAGTGTTCTGTGCCTTTATTCGCATAGACGGTGACGCCATATTCCCGCGTTTGTTTATGAACCGTTTTAATGACGCGGCGAAGCTCTTAAATCGTTCGAAAGACGCTCATGATTACCATAGATCGCTAATAGTAGCGTTTTGTTGCGTTTGTTGTATCTGTGTCAGGTTGGAAAAAAACTAATACCGCGAAAATTTCAGAATTTTGGTTTGTAATTTTCTTGTAAAGCGAAAACGATTAAAATATTTTTTTCTCGCGATCGAAGTGAAAAGTAAAGTTTTTACCTCGAGACTAAACGCCAATATAAACCTTCTGAGTAATAGACACCCTAGCGCGGGTGGCTATCCACCTCGGGTATACCGGGTGGAAATTTGTAATGCCACTACACAATGCTAAATACTGGAGATAGAAATTTTTACTTAAAGGAAACATTCCTTTATTTTTTTAAATAAATAAAACTGCATTCATAGATTTTCGAAAATTTCTAGCAACACGCGGGAATCGAACCCCTTTAATCTGAAAAAAATGCACCCTGCACTTTTATTGCATCGATCGATAAAAATAATTAGTTAATTATAAAAATAAAATCTCTCTCACAAAATTGGTTAATTGAATGAAAAAAAAAACATGAAATCTTAACGTATATTAATAAAACGAAAAAAATTCGTTAAAAGGTTAAATTTGTGTATCCAAGAAAATGGAGCTCATTTCGAGCAAGTAATTAGTTAGATTACCATTTTTTTCGTTTTATTAAAATACCTTAAAATTTCACGGGTTTTTTTCCATTTAATTAACCAATTATGTAGGGATTTTATTCTTATAATTAACCCTATCGATCGATGCAATAAAAGTGCAGGATGCATTTTTTTCAGATTAACGCGAGTTCAATTCCCACGTGTTGCTAGAAATTTTCGAAAATCTATGAATGCAGTTTTGTTTCTTTAAAAAAATAAAGGAATGTTTCCTTTAAGTAAAAATTTCCATCTCCAGTATTTAGAGTACTTGCCCTCCAGGTGGCATTACAAATTTCCACCTTGTATATATTGGCTCTTATTAGGCCCTCGATAAACAATATACTATGAATTAACTTTTTTCTTTCTTTTCAAGGTGGCCGATTTGAAACTTCCGCCTGGCATAACGCTGACCCGAGTGCAGCCTAGCGAGAAGAAGGAGCCTCCATCTATAAAATCCGTGGTAAACAAACTGAAATTTAATTTATATCATTGAACATTCATCATGCGTTTGCCACCATGAAAATAATACATTTTTTTTCTGACAATACTCCATTACTTTGTTATTATTATCGATACAAAGATGGAACAACATTAGAACGTTGTAGCACAGTTGGTAACAGCGTTGGCCCCGGTGTGGCAACAGACGCTGGTTCTTTTAGCTTGTATTTTTTATATGTGTTGTTGATGATAGTATCATTTCGTACGAGTATTCTTTTTGGATTTTTTTTTTACCAACTTCAAAAAGGAAGAGGATCTCAATTTGACTGTATTTTTTTTATATTCCGCCAATTCCGCCATTTGTGAACGGATTTAGATGATTCTTTTTTTTTTTGTCGGAAAGAAGGTACCTCAGTATTGATCCCATTTAAATTTGAAGAAAAAATTCCACCTCTAAGGATGGCAAACTAGGTAATGAATCCGGTTTCGCGCACTTTCCGGTAACCGACTTCAACAAAACTTGGCGAATAGGTAAGGTATGTTCTAAAATATTTAAAAAAATCCGTTGAAAAGCATCTCCCCGAAATTATATAGAGACGTTTTTCAACTTACCTAATAGTTGCTGACGGCATTGTTACAGCCGCTGTGGAAGTGCAACCAGCTGCCGGCGGCGCCTACGCCGGTTGCGCGGCCGCAGCCCGTCATCAACGCGGACCCCTCTTTGATGATGTTCAGCACCGCGCAGCCAGGTCAGCTTTACTCCATTCGCGACTATGACTTAATTTTTTATTTATTTATTCTTTTACAATACGCAACCATGATGCATAATGTAACTTAAGGACTAACATTCACCACAAACGAATTAAAATTCACCTTGTGTCGGGACTCCAATAGTCTTAATGTCACGCATGTCGTTTTTAACACTACATTGTACGTTTCAGAGCCACCGAAAACAATAATAATACCCGAGCCAGCCCCAGTTCCGAAGTCGAAAAAAGCCAAAAAGAAAGCCAAGAAGGCAGCTGCTGAAGTGTCAGAAAACAAAACGGATGGCACTAAAATGGTCACACTGCGGAACCCAATGTTTCATCCCAACCTGCCTCCAGTGCAAATCTCGAACCCGGTTAAGAAGACCGAACAAATCAGGATACCTGATCCCATACCAATGCCACCAAATGCTTGTCAAGCGACCATCACTCCGACGTCAAACGGAATGTACACTATACGTAATCCGTTAATGTCAATGATGCATCAGCAGAGTTTAATGGTCATGAAGACTCAGGCTCCACCGATTAATCCTCTATACGGACAGCCACAGTACACTTATGTGAATCCTAACGTATATCCAGTGCCAACTCCTGCTCCACAAACATACGTCATTGATCCGTCTAGAAATTCACCAAAGAACGATGAATATCAAAGCAGAATAATGAATCTGGCTTCGTTTACACAGAAAAACGATGAAGGATACTCTTTGTTCAAGACAACAGAGGACAGTCAGCAGAGAAACTTTTTGACACCGGAATACTTTGAGAATCAACCTAAGAGCACTGTTTCACCGAACCCCATAGGTACTAGACCGAACAATGAGCCCAACCGTCCTTTTGATTCAAGCGACTCCTCATTGTTTGCAAATCCGGTGCAAAGACCTGAGCCTATTGGTACACCATTGAAACGCGATGAGGAACGGGGTGATTTTTCAAGTTTGTACACACCGTTTGGACAGGAAGACAGAAATGTGTTCCGTAATGCTTTGTTCAATGATAAAAATGAATCGGTGAAAATAGATGATGTTACTTTGACATTGTCCAACGGTGATCCTTTGCCTTACTTTCAACGGTTGAGAGTCGGTTCCAAGTTGAACAACGAGGTGACAATACATCACGTGACCGAGTCGAAGTTTTATAAGGGACAGGTAGGTTATGACAGTTTTCTTTTATAGAAGTATTAATCCCACAGAACAATAAATACAGTAGAAGTGGATAGTTAGCATCTGACGCGTGCCAACAGTACGCTTCGTTACACCTACTTGAGCTCAGTCCGCCATTTTGGCTTTGTATGATATGGTTGTATCATTCTTTCGCGAAAATTGTCTAAAATCGTGGAAAAATGCTTATTGTGCTGTTTTGGAGTGCAATAATGATAGTAGTAGATACAAGTCTTATTTTAATTTTCAATTTTCTGTTTGTCCAATTGATTTTTTGTACCATAACAAACGGAAGTAAACATTATCCCAGAGCAATATGGTCGAGTTTTATCTTTTGAAGAACTGAGTAAACATTTAGAATTTTCCATGCTAGTAGCGAACGAAAGTTTATCAAAAAAATGCTTCATGGGTGTTTTGTTAATTTGAAACAGAATTAATCAAAATGGAGTTCGTTAAGCAATGTGTGCGTTAAAGAAGACATCTGTCGTCAAGTAGATACTACTTTATAAGTATTAGTTCGGTTGTTAATCGTTCGTCGTAGTCCAGCTACAGGCCGCAAGATGGCAGCACTTTGAATAAAATTTCAATATAAACTCGAAATATCGTAACTTGCAATCAGTGTTGGGCAAAATTTAATTTTTGTGGCAATTAAAGATTGACAATTGATTAATTGTCAATTGCGAAACAGCAATTAACGATTGATCAATTGTTAGTTGCGAGAACCGCAATTAACAATTAATCAAACCCCAACCGGGTCCCCAACCGGGGGCCCCAACCGGCCCCCTAACCTGCCCCCAGCAGGCCTCCAACAGGCCCCCACAACCAACGCCCTAACTCACCCCCATGTGCCCTATAAATTTATCATAATTGTCAGTTTTAATAGTTAATTGTTAATCAAAAACATTGAAAAGATTGAAAATTGATTAATTGTAGATATTTGCGATTAACGATTGATCAATTGTTAGTTGCGAGAACCGCAATTAATAATTAATCAATTGTTAATTGCGGTTTTTGTTAATCAAAAACATTGAAAAGATTGAAAATTGATTAATTGTAGATATTTGCGATTAACGATTGATCAATTGTTAGTTGCGAGAACCGCAATTAATAATTAATCAATTGTTAATTGCGGTTCTCGCAACTAACAATTGATCAATCGTTAATTGCTGTTTCGCAATTGACAATTAATCAATTGTCAATCTTTCCCAGTTTTTTAATCCCAGTTGGGGGCCCCAATAGGGGCCCAGGGGCCCCCAACCGGGCCCCCAACCGAGCCCCCAACCAGGGCCCCAATCGGGGGCCCCAACCGGGGGCTCCAAACGGGGCCTCCAACCGGGGCACCCAACGGGGCCCCCCAACCGGGCCCACAACCGGGCTCCCAACCGGGGTCCCCAACCGGCCGGAATTGATTTTAATTGCAATTAAAATCAATTCAATTGAAATGAATTGCAATTAAAATCAATTGCAATTAAAATAAATTGCAATTAAATCAATTGCGACGCGTCGCAATTGATTTAATTGCAATTGATTTCAATTGAATTGATTTTTTAATCTGATTGAAATTTAATTGATTAACGCCCAACACTGCTTGCAATAAACGTATTGAACTTTCAACAATATAGCGACAGGGTTGAGATTGAATTATTTCAATTTTAGAATTTGTTACATCTTTTTAAATTAGAAACTATGACCAATCATTATCAAGATTTCACAGTGTTTATCATTTGTTTGTTTCTGTTTTCGCGACATCTGTTCCGATAGTAATCGAGGCTTCAGGCACTTCCATTGTTTTTTTTTTGTCTTCAGTGGGTACAACTATTACAATGGAGACTGCTCGCACCTCTCGTCACGCCCTACCTGAGACGTGATCAAACTGTTCATAATTAACAATGTAATCCATTCAGGAACCACCGTTCGCGACCCCCGCCGTGGAAGAGTCGCTGTTTTCGTGCCCCTTGGGCAGCGCTCCCCCTGCGGGGGCCCCCGGCGGTGGCTGGCCGGAGGGTCTCTACGGACCCAATCCTGCTGTTGTCAACAACAACAATACCACCGCCACTACTACCACCACCACCACCACCGGTAAGTAACCGCGACTTATTCGCTCTGATAATGTTCTCTTGTGTCAAGAATTGGCTTCCTCTTAGAGAGCTTGTCCAGGCTAGCACACACTCTTTGATAATGGAACTATTTTAGTATTTGTAGAGCCCCTTGTACAAAAATTCGTCCAGGGAAGTACAGCCATCTTACCTCTTTCAGCCGCCAAGCAGTAATGTAAGCATATACTTTAGCACGGATATAGGAAGCAATAAACAGAACTAAAGACGATAAAGTATTAAAAATATATTTAAATAGTGGTGCTCTTGCACATACCATATTGCATTTTGTTTTTATCAAAAATTATGGTATTAAAGTTAAATTATTAATTATGGTAAATGACAACCTGACCGCCAGTTCGATTCTCGGTAGGACCAGGATTGCTGATTACAAATGTCAACAAGAACAATGAAAACTTATTTTCAGGGCAAGAAGACGTTGAAGTCGGTTAGGGTTGGGGTGCATTTACATTCATTTCTTAATTTCTCAGCTACAACTCAACCCACCACTATGTCGTCGACCAGTTCTGCTGTCTCAGCCGGCTCGGTGGGTTCGGGTGGCTCAGTCGGCTCGGGTGGTTCAGGTATGTATTATCCTACCTACGTGCGCTGTCGGCGGCTGTCGCTCATCTAGACACATAGACAAAAACGCCTCTTTTCGTCGTTTAGAATTCCGTACCGCTAGGATGTGCGTATTAACCCCCTTTACACAGTCCTTGTACATGGTATGGAGCCCCTTAGCATACGGAGAGACGTTGGCTATCTTTCTGTGCTCTACCGTCTTTGTAATGGGTAGTGCTCTGAGGAACGTTTCGAACTGGTGCCACCGTCTCGTTTCCACCATAGCACTCACCGCCAAACTGCATTAGATTAGATTAGATATTGTAGTGATATTAATAATTTGAGTTTAGATTACTAACGACATGTTTCGTTTCAAATTATTATTTTTAATTCTGGCTGATTTTTATTTTGTTATTGTTGTTTCTAAATTGCTGTAACGCCGTGGTAAATACCGTACAAAACGAACGGAATCACATTTCATCGGTAATTAAATAATAGATATGTAATTTTTCAATTTTCGTTCATAATAGCAAAGCTCAAGTTGCACTGGTCAAATTCGGGCTGGCCAATCGGAGCGCAGTTGTCACCGTAATGATTTGGCAGAATAGTTTTCAAACAAATTATAACACATTTCGTCTCAATTTCTGGTTATATACTCGATGGTCCGTGTAAAGGCTAGTCGCGCAGGATAGACCGCGTGAAACTTGCGCGTGTTGGAGTGCGCAATCTTCTGTGTCTATGTAAAGCCCGCTATTCACTCTCTTCATAAAAAGGCGCAAGAAATATTTTTTGTGAAATAGATCAGAAGGCATACAATTTCATACATTCTTCTTCGTCTTAACTACCAAAGATGAAACTGTCGGAATCAATTAAACCAAGGCCAAAATGTGTGAATAGCTGATATTTTTCTACTTATACATATAAGAGGAATCTCATTTGCTGAACGTGCCTTTAACCTAGCAATGAATGTATCGTGCAGGTGGCACTGCCAACTCAGCCGGGGAGTCTCCCCGCTGCAGCTCCCGAGGGTCGCTGCAAGGTCTGCAGAACGACGACGATGGCGGTTACGGCGCTGTGGGCACTCGGGCGGCTGCCAACCGTCCAGGTACACCACATTCACTGTTCTATCTTTTTGTTGGACTATTTAAACCTGGTATTACAAAAAAACATTTTTTTTCTCAAGCGAATTAAAACTGTTTTTTTTCTGAAGTATTTTTTTTTAAAGTATGAAAATTAGATGCCACAATAAGAAGAAAAAAAAGAAGATAAAAATATGTCTAGGGCTTTAATTACACGTTATCTGTTTTTGGAATGAACTTGTAACAAAAGCTCTCAAGCTCGGTATTATCCCTTGACCTCTCCTGTTAGTATTCCCTGAACCATAATAAAATTGACTCTCAAGTAATGCGTAAACAGCAGAGATCGGCGTCAGAGTATATTTATCTTAGACTACCAAAGTATGTGTAATAAAGTAGATAATACTTCCCTTTGAAATCTCAAACAACCGTACTACCACTGTACAATAAAATTGCACTAGCCCGGAGGGCTAATAGAGGATAAGCTAGACATCCTCCCGTACCTCCAGTCACTTAGGTTATTGGGAACTTTAGAGACGCTGTTTTTCGGCGTCGGAAAATGAGCGTGCCTTACAGCTCCGCTACCAATGGGGAGATTTGGTAGTCGACGGTTCAGCGGTGGCAACCGTTAGTTCCGGGAAGTGAACGTGCCTACAGCTCCTGTACCTATCTGAAAAATAGGGAGGGTGCTGTACGTGCACCCGGGGCGGCTTACCAAAGACACTAGCCTTCTGAGAACCGGATGAAGTCCATGCAAACTGGCTGATCTATTTATTTATATTTTAAACAACTTATAACTAAACATGTAAGTCATAGTCACAAAAAAGGTTGAGTCGATCACCGGCCAAAGGTAGGATGCGGAATTGGGACCACAGAGCTTTGGGCGGTGACCGCCTTCAAATAAGCAACCAACGGATGTTAGAAATTTTGGTTCTGTGTTACTGAACACGTCAATATCATTTGTTCTGCTTAAGAATTCAATTACGGCTAGGGTGTCGAAGAATGGTGTCGGTCTTAGTGTCATTGTGCTAGTTAAATGTAAGTTGAACAGAGGGTATTTGCGCTGACGAAAGACGTAACGAGATTGGCGGGATAAAAAAGGAATTTGAGCCAATAGAGGAGGGTTAATTATACAGGGTGTTGATTTGCATTCTCGGCATATTTAAAAAATTAATAATATAAATAATGCCAAATCATCTAAAAATATTTTAAAAATATTCTGTTCAATATTCTGGCTAATTGTATCTAGTAAAGTTTTGTAAAAATGTCCCGCAAAGTGTACTCACCGCGGAGGACAGTGACCCCGCCACTCGCTTCACCGAGCGATACGGAATCTTTCTCGTTCGCTTATTTACCCATTTTTAAATCATGTTTATGTACTAGTATTGTTATAATTTACTAATTATTTACATGAGTTAGAAAAGTTGACTGAAAAAAGATTTATTGTAATTTAGGTTTGGTACTTACCAACTTTAGGTTACATGAAAGTAGTGTTAGAAGTACCTAGCTCCACAGCTGGTGACAGGCTCCGTGTCGGAGCCAGCCACAAATATGCAAAGTTTCGTTTCAACTTAGCACATTCTTCACAACAGAAAACGCAGAAAGAAACCAAAGACGATTTTTGCCCGCAATTTTTCGACACTCGTAATCTGCGTAAACTAAATGTTTCACATCATGCCATAAGAACACACTTTATGGTAATGCACATGGTAGCGGTTATTTTTGCACTAACTCTTGTTTACATCACACACAAACCACGTTGAATTTCGTGAGAAACTAGAATGTATGCGCGATGAACGCAGACGCAATACGCAAGGTGGACTGATGATCTACCAATCACGCGCTCGATACGATTCACCCCCCGTCTCTACTCGTACCCTGCCGCCAAATAGAACTAAAATGCATATTTTCTGCGCATACTGCGCATAGGACCATTGTTCAAATGGTTGCCGGTACCCGTGCCACGTGTATTGCAAGTCAATGACCTTTGGATCAAGTTTGGTTACCGCAATTAAATAAAAATTTAGGATCTTTTTTTTTATTTATTTTTTTAGTGATTTGGGTTCAGTTTCGGATATAGAATGACCTCTGTAAATATGGCGAGAATGCAAATCAACACATTGTATATATCCTCTTATTAGGTTAAAAATATATTTTAGGAGCGCCAGTTTTCGCCTGGTCTCAAGCGATCTGTACGATACCATACCCAAAATAAAGGGTGTAGGGTACATATACGGATAGTACCCATAAAGTTTTGCTTTACAAATATCTCAAAAATTATTTCTGGATTCGTTCCAACATTGCAATATAGAGTTTGTTGTGGGGATTCTACACTGCGCACGTAGCTTCTAATATACTTCGAACAAAGGCGTTATATAAATTACAAATTGCCTGTTAAAAAACTTAGATTGCCGCTTGATGAAGCCTAGACTTTTCCAAGCATTATTATATATATCGATAATATGATCGTTAAATCACGAACAGACTTCACACTATTCAAGGTCGTGCCACCGAGGCTGTACTCACTGAGGATTGGAGCTCTCCGGGAATAAGATCTGTGGTTAGGATCTGACTTAGGTGATCCCTGTGCTTTCCGCATAGCCAAGAGTTTGATGAGGAGGGTTACTATAAACAAAACTTATGTATAAAAATATAGGGCTGTACTTTAAAATAATGAAAAAAATCTCTTCTTTCAGAATCAAGCGTTTTCCTGCCTGACCGCAACATAACCAACTTATCAACACTGGAAGCGTCCGAGAGAGACATTGAATCCTTCAAACGCTTCGAATTCTACTTTGAGCCACCGCAGCATAAGCCGCGTGTGCAACTCCACGTCAGCGACATCGCTGCCGCCCTTCGGCATAACCAAAAGTAGATATACTTTTGCTCTACAAATACAATGGACTCAAAACTTGAATAATTTATTGTAAACACTAATTATTGAAGACTTAGTCTCTACAAAAACGTTAAATTATAATCGCCCTTGTTTGTTGACTTGGCCTTCAGACCAAATATGTGCGCACGATGCGTTCTGTAAGATCGTTTATGCACTACGTCCAATTCGTATCAGACCCTGTCAAGTAAGTTAAGCTATTTGACTAAATTCAAAGATGCATGATGCGAATGAAGCTTAATACTTTACATTGTCGTTCAATTATCCAGTATTACTTATTTGACAGTAATTGTTTCGAATGGATGTTGGACGGAAAACGACAGTAACCCCGCAGTTCCGAATCCGAGAAATGACGGTCGGAAATGTCACTGGACTGGACTGGAATTAGTACACAAGCGACATCAGAATTGAAGTCTCGGATTCAAAACGAATACGAATAGGATGCAGTGCTCAAACGCGCTTACGGTCTTTTGTTACTTCGACACTTGTATCTCAATATACATTGACTAATTAAGAGCAGGCAGGCCATTGGTCGGTTGTAAATTGTTAACACTAAATAGACATTGTAAAAGACGGAAATTATTATATATTTGCAAGGATTTGACAAAATACGAATGTGACTTAAAAATAAATGCTCATTTATATATAAGTCGGTCAATTGAAACGTTTAGGTGATTGACTACTCATCGTTGTACTCCTGTCTCGAGCGACTTCATGAACTTCATAGTATCACAAAGAGTCATAAGTTATGACTCTTTGTGATACCAATTACACCGTCGTTTACACGTTGTTCCGAGCGACTTCATAGTTTTTGACTCTTTGTGATACCAATTACAACATCGTTGTAATCTGTTGTCCCGAGCGACTACATAGTTAAGTTTTAACTCTTTGTGATACCAATTACAAAATCGTTGTAATCCGTTGTCCCGACCGACTTACCAGCTACAACATCTATTTACCTTGCTGTCCTGAGCGACTTCATAGTTAGCTTATGATTCCTTGTGATATCAACTACGACACCGTTGTAGTCTGTCGCCTCGAGAGACGTCTTATACAACTTTTAACTCTCATATGATACGTTCATTTTCTTTAGTAATTAATTTAGTTATGGACTGATAAAAGTGAGTTGTTATGAATAGACTTAACGATATTTATTATCGAGTCGGTTCCGTGCAATGGCACTGTCGACAATACGTGGTTTTACACCTTTAGACCTTACGTGTTTTACACCTTTGACCTTGGAGTGTTGCTAAAATAATTTAGCAGTGATGACAATTTGATTGTTGGTGATGAGGATGGTTCGTGCTGAACTCAACGTTGTGCAATTGACTGATGCGCGTGTTTTTATAATGTAACTTACGTCGCAATTGAAAAATAACAGTTCAAGTGTAGTTTGATTGCAACCCGTGCGACTGCACAGCGACTATAAATTCTGTGTCTCTAGTGAAAAGGGGTACAAGTAAAAAAGCTAACTTTACAAGGACATGCGACGAAAATGCTTAACGTTTAATACCATATTACGCTTTAACTGTTTTTGTAGTCTCCTTGTAAAGTTGGTATTTTTTACTTGTACCCCGTTTCATTACAGTCACAGAAATAACGGCTGATTCGTAGAAAAAGTGGCGTGCAACTCTGTTACTTTGCATTTGTGATACTGTTTGAATCTTGCTATATTTAATAGCTGTTTTGTACGTTTCAAATTGCGTAAACGTAACAGTATTGCACCAACACCATTTGACTGCAAATTTTACTTATCAACTGTACGTTGATGACGACTATAATCAACGAAAATTAATCGTTGATTAGTGATGATAAAAATTGATTGACTTTAGTTGATGATGTTGATAGTAAAGTGAGTATTTAGTGGCACTATAGCAATCTTGTACCAGTATATAGGAAGGCATATTGCAGGTTGTAAGTTTTAATTTAAGTAAAATGTATATTATAGACAAAATATGATTTTTTATTTCACCCTTTCCCTTGAAGAAACAGGATAATAATAATAATTGTTTATTTCAACATAAAATTAATTTAAGTCATTACATAGTAGGGAACAAACTTACATAATAGTGCTTAACAGTGACTGATTGTTGACCAGTCGATCAACATCTAGACCCCACAAACGATCTGTGCTAGCGAATAGTACTGTAGTCGCCACGACGGGCCAGCATCAATCGTATTTGAGACAATATAGCTTACGAGTATTCAGAAAGGTAGAACAGAACTAGAACACGACGCGGTAACAATAATATGCACGGGTCCGCAGCCATATTTTTAAGTGAAGAGCGCGCTACTAGTGATTGATAACAATACAGTTTTTTTTATTTTTTTTTATTTATTTATTTCAGGCAACTAGGACCCATAGATACATACCTTACAGACTAACATACATATAATATAACAATAATATAATAAAACAATAACAGAAATATTAAATAAATACCTTACGGACTAATCATAAATACAATATAACATGATAATATACATATAACACTGTTTATTTACACGTATGTACTTCGACGTGTGACGCAACGTGGGTGTCCGGTAGCCGTCCTCGGAAACGCCGGTATATGACACCCTTCGGCCAAAAGTCTTCTCTCATGAAGGTCGACAGGTGTTGAGTTGGTACTCGCACCACAAATGAACTAAAATTCACATTGTGGCGCGACTCCAACCGCTCGACCCTCAGGTTTGCATTGGCCTTCACTCGCATGTACTCCACAACATCCGCAGACTTGGTGGAGTGTAGACGCGACACGTATAACAACGTCGTCGGTACCGCTGGACGCAATAAATGATTCGAGCCAGTCAGGGCGGTGCCACTAAGGTTTCGGCTGATGTTCTTCTTTTTCTTTTCCACCTTCCGAAAGCCGTCCTCGTCGCACTGATCAACTCGTCTCGGTGGTACTGACGACGCAGCTCCAGATACGAGTTTCTTTTTCAGTTTTCCTATTTTATTGTGAAGTGTATTAGATATTATGATCATGACTGTACAAGAATATTATCAGGTGGAGCACGAGGACTTGTAAGTACCCCGTGCAACAACCCAGGTGCAGCACGGGTCCGCAGCCACTCTGACGTCCCAAAACCAGTAAAGTACAACTGTTCATTTGGGACCCAGAAAAGAAAGGGTATAGTTTGAAAAACAATTAGTGCGTTTAAAAGATACTTAATACTATGTTAGTTTAGGAGTATAGTGTGGTAAGAAATTGGGGAGTAGGTGTTGTGTATTTGAGCCTGGGGGTCTACTCTCGATCTCCGTCCGACATCCGTCCGAAACAATTATCGCCAAATAAGCAATACTTGACCAAATGAAAAGACGCGTGATGCGAAAGAATCTTCATACTTGACACTTGTCTTTTAATTTTGTCGAATATTACTTATTTGACAGTAATTGTTTCGGACGGAGATCGAGAGTTGACCCCCTTCGAAAGTGCGTGTGTGTAAGTGAGATAAATGATGGTGTGTTATAGTGGTGATTTTGAATGCCGACAAGGACAATCGGGGGCATCTTAACAGTATATCAAGAAGATGGAAGGTCTGAATTATATGTATAAAAACAGAAAAGTTACATTTCATTGTAAGGCCCTGGCTTCGGAGCTAGGTTCAATGATCTGTGTTAAGGAAATCAATGTCTTCTCTCGTGATTAGTTACTCTTATTTATTTCTGGCAGTGAATGTATCTGCTATTAATAGGATATCTACTAATATATGTGTGTGTGTATCAGTGTATGTGTTTGTGTGTGCGTTAGGGTTAGTGGTTATATTGAAAACTTATGAATAAATAGAATCTATAGAATGTAATCGTTAAGTGTGGCCCACTTCTGCTGGCTCGATTTTTTTCGTTCCATACAATGAAATGATCTTTACATGAAAATGAGTCGTTTAGCACTAAAAACAATTTGATCAGTTTTATTCATTTTTATGGACAACTCACACTTGACCATATAATGGCTATGCCATTACATTTTTATTCAATGAAAGGATAGTTTTATTTATAGCAGTTTTGTTATCTGTTAATTTATTGTTACCTCTTACAGTAGAAAAACTAAAGCCTCTGTATTTATTGTAATAAAGATAATATCTCTAACAATGGCGTGCTGTTCCATTCGGTGGTGTAGGGAAAAACAGCAAAACAACTTGTGGGACTATGTATTTACCTAAAGTAAACTGTAATGTTTTTACATTATTAAATAATAATAAATCTAATTACATACAATACAATACACTTACATACAATAACAAACAAAATCAAATTTCATCGGTAATTAAATATGTAATTTTGCAATTTTCGTCCGTTATAGCTAAGCTCAAGTTAACATTATCTTATTTGTAAAAAAAATGTAATTGACAAGACAAATAAATTTAAAAAAAAAAATTGGCCGGTTTAAAGTGAAACAATTGAGGATATCCGTCAATTGTTTCGAATTTAGGCTGGCCAATCGGAGCGCAGTTGTCACAGTAATGGTATGACCTTAGAGGACGGAAAAAAAATGAAAGGAGGCTGCCCTAACTACAAAATAAACGTGCTTATAACCAAAATCTGAAAGTTACAAATGGCGGATTTCCTTAGTGTTGTACCATAATCTATCGATAAGTTATTATCGACATGCAAATGTATGGCTTGAATGTTGAAACTGTTTTTTTTTGTTTCTTTAGTTTACTGTAACCAAAGTATGCCTAAACAAACACAAGTCTAATAATTTAATCTCCAGTGGTATATTTTTATTAAGCCGAACGATGGCAAGGCAAGGCAAATAGGCTGTCTATACGTTGGTATTGGCGTTTACCCAGCAACGTTGGACTAACATGTCATTGTATCGCAGGCTTTAAAAAAATAAGTCATTTTTACTAGTTAAGAGTTTACTAGGAACTGAGAATAACTAGTAAATGAGTCTTGTTTAATCTAAATTGAACATAAAATTATTTACCAATAAATCTAATGATGGAATAGCATTGTCATGTAATCTAGTTACATTCAAAGTTCTGTTAAAATTTGAAATGAAGATGGTCTTTGATCCAACGTTTGTTATCGGCAGTCCTATGATTTCCATCCATTCTCTCTTCCTTTTTTCATTTGTAGGAAAACTTGAAATAATAAAAATAATAATAATAAAAATCTCGTATGAATTGTATGACAGAATAGTTTTGAAACTAATCAAATTACATTTCATCTTTGTTTCTGGTTTAGAGGATGGAAACAAATAATAGTCTAATGTTGACTGCAATCACTAGCTCGCAAGCGGAAGCACTTTTGCGCAATTAATTGTCATTTTACTCAGTCTTCAAAAAACACACTATACAGCCTCAAGGTGCAGTCGCGAGAAGGCTCGCGAATACTCGTGCATTCGAGCGACCGTGCGCGCCTTCTCGTCAGCCAGGCGAAATTGACGTTTGCGTTCCGCGGCAATGTAAATTAAGTCTAGGAAAGGTTACAGGAAGGTGGTATGGGGAAAGAAGTTAGAGCTTGAGGACCCGTAAGTATGTCACAGAGTCGGAGATTAGGGCCCAGATTGTTAATTGCCTTAACTGCACCTTTTATCAGGCCAAGATAATTTAAACTATTTTTGCACCAGATTTTTCCACGTCAGAACTTTAGAAGTTCATTAAGCTCATTTCCAAGATGGACAAATGTTTTAAAGAGTATAAATGTAGAACATGCTATAACAAAACATTGTTTTATTTACTTCTATAGATAATATTAGCGACTGCCATACATAATTTGAAAGCTAAATATTGTCCATGCTTTTAAAACTAAAAATATCATAATTTATTAACAAACATTAATGCAATAATTAGGTCAGTTCCTATTTTTTATACAAGTTGGAATGCCTAGCATAACATGTTTCTCGTGTTATGAGCTTCATTTAATTTTGTAAATGTAATATAGTCAAATGTAATAATAATAGTTGGTGCTAACATTTGCGATAATTGTTTGACGCAGGACAATAAATGAAAATACAGTGTACTATTAAAAAAAAATCACATTTATTCATATTTCACAGTATGGAGTTTACAGGACAAAAAATACAATAAAGACAATTTGTACTTAGCAACTATATGCGTAATTAACTACGCAATATAATAAATATTTAACCGTGTATGCAGTGAAACTGATCATAGTACAGACGGCTTCAAAATGGTTAGCAAGTTCAGTGTTCACTTTGTTGCTATTGAATATCGTCAGAAAAATCTTGTTGAAATGATCCCGTGTAAAACTGTCACCTCTCGGTAGGCCTGTATATGACCATAGACAAATACGTTTTGTATACAAAACTGAGGGCATAGTTGCATAAGCCTGAAGAATGAAATTATATTTATTACATTTTAGGAAGCTACGGGCTGTAGGATTGTAACAATACAGATGTTCAGAAATTTTGGTAATGTCCGGGGCTAGTGGCGCTTGGCGTGCGCGGGGTTGAGCGGGCTGGTGTCGCGGCGGCGCTTGCGGCGCTGCGGGCCCAGCGGCACCATCAGACCCGCGTGCGCCTGCGCAGCCAGCAGCATGCCCAGCTGGCACACCGCCTGCAACCATCACATTCTATTCTTACATTTCACTCACTTTTATTTCTATTAATATTTCATTTCATTTTTAACCGACTCCAAACAAAGGAGGAGTTCTTAATTAGACTATTGTTTTTGTACATATGTTACGCAATTTGTGAACGGATTTTGATGATACTTTTTTTGTTAGAAAGAGGGCCTTTCGAAGGTTTAGGACCACAATGAGAAATAACCACAATTAAAAAGGACCAATTCTTGAATTGATATCTTCTTGAATTGACCACTTCTTGAAGTGACCATTTTATTTTTTAATTATAAATTAGATTTTTTATTATTTTTAGACCCTTTCGCCAATTTAGGACCACGCCCAGACATTTATCTAAACTAATTACGTTTGAAGATATGATCACACATCGATAAATCAATAAGCACACTCCACTTGTATTCTATAATTAAAATCTCTTTATCTGTTACTTATCATACTTTTTAAAGAATCGGCCACTTAGTAATCTACGATTAGTAAGAAGATTTGAGGAATCTGTTGTCTTTTAATTGACATTACCATTCCTAGATATTCCTGTCCTGCGTTAGTTGCGACGGCGAACAAAGAATTGGTAATTGCATTAAATCAGAAAGGAAGAGAGACTATAATATGGGGTAAGAACCGATATAACTTCAGTTTACAAAACATATGCATGTGCTCCGGAATCTAATTAAAAGATTCGTTTACCTTAGTTAAACGAAATCGTGGTACCATGATTTGGACTTAGTTCTAAGGTTAATATTAACCGGAACTAAGGGTTACCTCTTCGAACATTTCCTTGGCCATTGTGTAGACGCTGTGTTCGCTGCTGTTGTACATCAAGGCGTTCGACAACAGAAGCAGGACGTCGCGTTGGAACTCCGCTGTCGTCCTGTAAATTGACAATGGAATAATAAAAACTTTATTGAAAACACAGAAATAACTAAAAAAAAAATTTTTTTTTAAATAGACACGCACTTGGACAACTACAAATTACACGCAAACTCGCGAGTTAAATAAATGTAGGTAACACAAATATTTCTTCCGGTCCGAGAACCGATCCCGGGACCTCTGCGTGACATACCAGCATGGTAACCGTTCGACATGGAGGCAGTTAGGTAGTTAGAAATAGGTTCAGAAACGTGTCTAGCTCCCAAACTAGGATTTCCTGTACTGTGGGTAGCTAAGTCTCACGTACCTCCGTCAAGTATGTTGCCTTGAAATAGCAAAACTATATTACAATATAATTATTATTTTCATCAACCCATATTATACGACCGATGTGTACAGATTTTGACGACTTTTTTTTTGTCGGAAAGAGGGTACCTCAGTATTGGTCCCATTTAAATTTGAAGAAAATGTTCCACCACGAAGGGTGGCAAACTAGGGGATGAATTCGGTTTCGCGCACTTTCCGGTAACCAATTTCAATGACACTTGGCAAGTTGATATATTTCCACGAACTTTTCAGATCGGGTTTTTTTTTTAAGAACAGTTATAATAATTATTTGAGTGGTAACACGTTAGATCACATCTTCTAATATTATTATTTATTAACTAACATCTTATTTTCCAGTTGTTATTTATTATGTATAAATTAGTAAAATGACCGTCTGTTCTGCTGTTTTGTTTTATCCCTAATAAAATAAATAAATAAATGTTAAATTCTGTTAAAAAACGGAGTGACTATTACCTGATGACCCCTGCTTCGATATTCCGCCGTATCGTGGTGAGGTCCATCGGTCGTTTGATGACCATGCTGTAGCCCGGGGCCTCCTCGTCGGTGATTGGTCGGAGGAAGATCGACGCGTACTTGTGCGCGCATAGTCTGCCATATTTCATTTCATATTATAAATTTTCATAAGACAACACAGATGGCGCTACAGATCGTAAAATAAAAGTGCATTGTGTTAACAATAGGACTGGTATATTCGGTATAAAGACAGAGACTCCACTGTTCGTCGTATTACGAGCCTATCGAGTTTGCGAATAGACTCGAGTTCGACATTAGTGCTCGAGTCTATTTATGTAACCAGTCGCGCTCGAGTCTGGCAAGTACATATTAAGCGGTGTGGTGGCGTGATGTGTTAAACTGTAGTTTAAATAAGCATTAACATTTTTTTTAAATCACTACCTATTGGGTTTTTGTTTTTTATTTAATTCGTGGGTAATAGTAGTTGTTTAGTAAAATTGAACCCTACCTGTTGTACTCGAGACTTTGTAGAGTAGAAGTGGGTACGAGACGAGTTTTGGAACTTGAATTTTGTTCAAAACTCGAATTATGACTCGATCGATGACTCACGCTCTATTTAGGCCACCGAGCCGTGCAAAATTTAGTCGAGTTTATAAATGTATGTGCTGGTTTATATAAATAAATGTATAAGGGCCGACAGTCGCCGGTGGCTGACGTTAAGGCGAGTGCCGCTCGCCGTGACGTCATACTAGACCGTGTCGCCCGCGCGTCTCGTCTCAAGCGCATATAAAACCGGTTCGCAACAAAGACAAAAAGCCGTTTGAAACTTTTTTTTACCATATTAAGTGACTGGACAAACAAGACATGCGCCTGGTGGTAAGCGACACGCCTGTCCATAACAGTTGCAGTGCCACTCAGAGCTTTAAATTGCAAAGATTTGAGGGGCACTGCCACTGCGCCCGTCACCCTGAGACATAAATTGAAAAGTCCCATGTGCCTGTAATTTCACCAGCACCCTTAACCCTTCAAAACCGGATCATAGTAATGCTCGCATTACAATATCAATACAAGGATTCGCAAGCGCATATCGTCGGCGTATTGTAGAAAGGGCGAAATTGCCACTTGGATATTTTGTAATGATTGTTTTAAAATTCAATTTTGGTTTAAATTAAGATTAAGTTTTAATAATAACGCACACACTCAACATAGCCCCGCACTAGGGAAACCCTGTGTCGCGGGTGCCATGGACACACACATAGACAAACACAAATTACACCCAAACTCACGAGAGAAATAAATGTAGGTCATACAAATATTTCGCCCGGCCCGGGAATCGAACCCGGGACCTCTGCGTGGCAGTCCGGCATGGTAACCGTTCGGCCACAGAGGCAGTTAAAATTGAATTTAAAACAGGACGTAAATCGACTCCTCCTACATAAAGTATCGTATGTCGAAATTGCCAAGTTTACAGGGAAGCGTTTTAAAGTTTTGAATTCACTGAAATGAACATAACACGTGACTTTAGCATTTCTCAGTTTTATTTGGCAAAGCTCGTTACTCACATAGAGCATTATAAAATCCTAGATATCGGTTTGATGAAGAATATTTTATAATTTTATACTGTCATCTGACCCGCCCAGTCTCACTTTAGTTTACTTGCTTGGTGACCCACATCTGCGTTAGTATAAAAGTATAAAATAAATTGTGGTTGTTCATCTATCATACTTTACGTAGGAAGAGTCAAATAAGTATAAAATAAAAACAGTCGCAAAAACTAAAAAAAGCAATATGGAATATTTTCTCGAAACGTCGTTTTCGCTTTTTCTACAAAACACCGACGTTATAGAAATTCTGTATCTGTAGTTCAGTTGGTAAGTTCGGTAGCTACGGTAAGGCAACAGACACTGGTTTGTGTCCAGGCTCCCAAATCTGCTATTTCCTTGAAACCACGTCATTGTATTTTTTTACCATGGCCACACACACATAGACAACCACAAATTACACCCAAAGTCATGAGATAAATAAATGTAGGCCATGCAAATATTTCTCACGGCCCGGGAATCGAACCCGGGACCCCTGCGTGGCAGTCCAGCATGGTAACCGTTCGGCAGTCAAACGTCTTTAATGTCTCTTTCGGTAGATATGACTATCCTATTATGACGTCACATGTTGTACCCCGTCTGGTACAGACCTGCTATAGACGAGCATGACGGACTTCTTCCAGAGGCGATGTTGCCGTTCCGCGTCGTTGGCACTGGGTGACTCCGGCGCACTCGCTTCTGCAGCGCTCTCTGAGCCCGAACACGCTGCGGACGCACATACAATATCACTTTAAAGCCAGTCTGTACTTCAGAGGGACATGTCGATGGCCAGGCCGAAGTTCAGAATGAAACATCGAAACACAAACTGAAGTTCAGAGTTACAATCCAAAGCTAATTGGAAGTTCTGAAATGTCCAAAGCCAGTCTGAAGTTCAGAATGAAATGTCGAAAATCAATCTGAACTTCAGAGTGAAACATCGATAGCCAGGCTGAAGTTCAGAAATCGAGCGTAGTACGTCGCTTCTGTTGTTAAATATAATAAAGTCAAACTAAAACCACTCACGTCGTGAATCAGGTTTCTTCTTTCTGGAATAATCCCTTTTCTTCTTCCCGTCTTTCTCTTCCTCGCGGCTCAACTGCAAGAACGTAGCCACGGTTAGGCGGGAAATTACCAAACATCACTTTGAATTTAACGGTAAACTCTGTTTTCTTTTCGGGAAGGAATAGATCTTACTTAAATGTTGTAAAACTTGCGAGAGACTGGAGTCTATATTAGGCAATAAAAAGATTAGTAAATTCTGCGTAATTCATTGAAAGACAGGCGGTATAGCACTTATTTAGATACGTTATAATAAAAAATAAAAAATGGAGATCTGTAAACTTTGCCTACCCCCTTGGAAGATAAGCGAGATCACTTGTCTATAAGTACATATGTAGCAAAAAAAATTTGAATAACTGATGGTCATTAGACTCTACCTGCCCTACTGGACAACAAGCGTCATAAGCAGGCATTTATTTGTGTAATAAAAATATAAAGAATTGGAGGTCAATAGATTCCGCCTTCCCCATTGAAAGATAAGCGTTATAGTATGTATTTATTTGTGTAATATAAAAATAGAAAGAATTGGAGGTCAGTAGATTCTGCCACCCTCATTGAAAGATAAACGTTATAGTACGTTTTATTTAAATTAATTTTTTTGACTAACAGTTTACAATTTGTGTACAAGATTATCGTACAAAATAATCACTTAAACCAGCAAAGTTTCCACAAATAAACATAACTTAAAAAAGAACGAAAAATTAATTGGTATTTTTTAAAATATAATCTGTAATAACTGAAAGTCAGTAGACTCTGCCTCCCCTACACGAAGATAATAATGTAAATAAGACGCCTCACCTCCATAGGGGTGTCGTCATCCGTCTCAGTGTGTGTCTCCTCGGTCTCCTGTTCATTCGGAGGCTCCTCCTTCACGTCGACAGGAGCTGACGGCTCCTCGCGAAGGGAAACCATGTCACGGAGAGGTATGGAGTCCTTGAAATGAAGTTATATTTAAAACGGGAAACAAAATTGGTATAATTATTAATACAAAAATCGAACACTCGGAAAAAATTCTTTCGATCCGGCCGGATTCGAACCGATGACTTTTTGGCCGTAGCGCCATATATGAGAAATCTGTGATATTTCGTCTGGCACGGTATGCTAGAAGACGTCGGTTCGAATCAAAATCGAAGTAATTTTTTCTGATTGTTCGGTCTTTGTATTAATAATTATAACAAACTAGTGGACTAATTTAACATTAAAATAATTGCATACCAATTCATTAAAAAGAAAAACAAAATTGGTTTCAAGAAAATTGTAAGTGAAAGGTAAATAAACGACTTTATATCCATAATTTGGAATTTAGATGTTTTATAAACATTGCTTCCGAATGCTAAAAAATCACGCAATGATAAATACGTTAAATTCTATTGTCGTTTGTTTTTTATTTAACGTTATGTCGGGGTTTTGTAAAAGGGCGAAAACGCCATTTTGATTTCTTTTCAGAGTAGCATGTTTTAGGTTTTAACGAAAATATTTCTGTTTTAAAATTCAATTTCGGTTTTAATTAATTTTAAGTTTTAAAATTGAATTTAAAACAGGAAGCTTTCGGCCCTTCTACAAAACTACGATGACATTTTATTTAATCTTTAAAGGTGCTATTCCAACGGTGAGACGAGACGAAGATTGAAATTTGTACGGCAAAATTTCAATTCTCTCATAGCGCATCTTCGGTGGAAATGGTCTGGATTGACGAGGATGGGCGACGCGAGAATTTAAATATTTGTTGATGTAATATTGAACCGTGTATAGGTTAAAGATTAACAAAAAATATAGATATTTAGCCTTACAGTAGAAGTGGAGTTTTAATTTTATATGACAGCTAACACTATACAAAAGAATGTTAATTTATGCAATTTTATGTATTCTGAACTGTTTTTCAAACTTTTACATTCGGCATCCGAACAGTCTACAGGACGAGATATTTTTTGTTTCATATAGTTGAAAGAAATCTAATGATATCACTTAGATGCAAATGGTCCTCAAAAAGTATTACTTTTCATCATTGACTTACAATTATATGGACGTCGGGTCCGCGCTAAAAAGTGTCCGAACTTATAGGGCGTTAAAATCGTATACAGAGCGTCAATCACGCTTTAGTCTTCTTTTGTTCGACTGACAGCGAAGCAAGCAAAATTAGACAGTACTGCGATGACATTACAATTTAAATTCAACGTTTTAGCTTTTTCATACTCCTTTACATGTCACTACGTTTAAATAGGTTGACTTGGGACATTTTTTTCCTGGTTTTTGTATTAGACCCGTCGTCCATTTATTTGTAAGTCAATGGTTTTCATGGTCAAATAATATAATCTAGACAATATATTTAAATTCAATTGAAGTAGCCGGAAAACTTTTTCTTCCCTTTTTGTGTACGTATACATAAAGAATTACACTCTGCAACGGAAACACGACTTCTCGCGATGGGTAGTAATATCAATCGCGAGATTGTGGAGTACGTACGGTTTCAGATTTAAAAAGGCTTCATCTGATTGTTCTTCGGTAAACATATTTAATATTAATAATTTACGGGACATGTTACATCAACCGCGTGTTTTTCGCTAGACGAACTGAACTCTTGCCTCGTCTCATCTCGCCTCTCTGGTGGAAAACCACCTTGATATTGTTTTTAAATGCCTAATTAAGAACTTCATTCCCTTTAAACGCTCTTTAGTAAAAATTGCTATTTGGCACTTAAGGCCTTTGACCTCTCAGCTACAGAAAATGATTCGGAGGCAAAGTATATTCTCTCTCTTCTTCATTTCAGTAAATATTGAACCTTAATCTCTAATTGTTCTCCACCATACCTCAGGATCCTCGACCTTGGCGTCATCACTTTTGTCTACATTCTCCTCTTTAGGCTCTACATGTTCTGTAATTTCTTCATCTTTAGCCTGTTCTGGTACTTCTTCTTGGGGAAGGGAAGCATCTGTTAATAAGATAATAAATAATTGCTTTTAAAAAACGTATTAATTTTAGTAAAGCATTAAATAATATGATAAAACATATTTCAAGAATTATTTTTGCACATTTCCAAAATAAAATGCAATTTTCAGTTAGTTCGAAACGTCTTAAAAACAGTTACGTGTTATATTATTACCTATTAATAGCCGAATTTCACTGAATTAATTCAATTTAATTTAAAAAGTAACGATTTTTTGGTTTTGACACAGATGTTAATATTGATAATATGATTATTAATACAAAGATCGAACACTCAGAAAAAATTCCTTCGATCCAGCCGGATTCGAACCGACGTCTTCTAGCTTACCGTGTCAGACGCTATAGCAACTAAGCCACGGAACGAACCAGCGGACCTCACGAATTTTTCTATGTGTTTGCGTCGTGTCTTTGAATTTGGTTTTTCAACGACTTTTTAGTCATTGATAATATGATTATAATAATATAATAATAATAACGCACACAGTCAACGTGAACTAGGGAAGCCCTGTGTCGCGGGTGCCATGGACACACACATAGACAACCACAAATTACACCAAAATTTACGAGAGAAATAAATGTAGGCCATACAATTATTTCTCCCGGCTCGGGAATCGAACCTGGGACCTCAGCGTGGTAGTCTGGTATGATAATTGTTCGGCCACGGAGGCAGTTTCCTTGAAAATCAAATAGCATGCAGGTGATACGAATGATTTTGGCTCATCTTCCGATGTTATAAACTATGAAGTCTTTTGTTTTGTTTTGCTTCAGAATTTTGTTATATAACTAAAGTTTGTGATTGTGATCATTTAAAATGCTTATTTATTATTTATATTGAACACTATATCGCTTAAATAAATGTTAATTGTTCTATCTAGAACTTGTTTTTTTTTAATAACATCAAGTGACGGGATGAACAAGTCGTGCGCCGGATGATAAGCGACACGCTTGTACACAACAGTTACAGTGTCACTCAGAGCTTCAAATTCCAAAGATCTGAGGAGCACTGCTACTACGCCCGACCTTAAAACCAATGAGACGTATTTTTTATAATAACACAAAAATTCACAAGGAAAATAAAATGTAGTGTAGTTTATATAGGTAATTCAGGTATTTTTTTCCAAATACATTAGCACCTCCTGTACAGCATCAACGCCCCCCAATTGTTTTTGAGACCCCTACCCTAGGACTCTACACTGCCCACTGGGGGTAGGGATCACAGACTCATAAACTTTCGAATCCATTTCCCATGAGAATCGTTAAATATGGTTACCGATATGTTCGGTTTACATCCCTATTTACGTTGCGATGACACGTGTTAAAAGGTGCCTTTAATTTTGTGACGACTATAATAGTTATCATGATAATGACCGTGATAATTATCTTGGATATTTATAAAATTAATTGGAACAACAAAGTCTATCAATTACGTATCAAAAAGTGTCAAATGTCAATCTTAAAAAGGGTAATCTATCACAGAGTCCAAGTCTTTTTTTTGTAATAATGTTCAAATTTTCATTACACCGAAAACCGAATTATAACGAAACAGTTGTTCTTTCAGGATATGTTGGATGTTTATCGCAAAAACACAATTAGATTAGTTTCGGTTAGGTTAGGTTTAAAAAAAAAGCATTTTCGTCTCAAAATTACTTTCGAGGTTATGAAATTTCGACAAAACGCTATTTCTGGAAAAAGTCATTTCGGATTACTGATAGGTAACCCTTAAAAAGTAACAAACCAAAGATTTTCGTAGTGTTTATTCAGTTTTTTCACCGTTTCTCATTTTTAGTTAAAAATTAATATCTTTAATTTTAATATATTTAATAATTATCAATGCTGATATGAATCAGGATTAGGATAGATAGAATAGGATTATTATCAAAGAAAATAAATATCTGATAAAAACATGTGCTAAACAGTAAATAAATAAATAAATAATAACGCACACACTCAACATAGCCTCGCACTAGGGAAACCCTGTCGCGGGTGCCATGGACACATACATAGACAACCACAAATTACACCCAAACTCACGAGAGAAATAAATGTAAGCCATATAAACATTTTTCCAGGCCCGGGAATCGAACCTGGGACCTCTGCGTGGCAGTCGGCATGGTAACCGTTCGGCCACGGAGGCAGTTAAAAAGCTAAACAGTCAAACCGATCTGATCTCAACCTAAAGAATTCCGTATAACACGAGTACTAAAAATATTTAGTTCAAAACTTACCTGGTGCTGCTGCCTCACTGGGGGGTTCCACTATCTGAGGTTCGGGAGGCAATAGTGTGGCCTCCTCGACTATAGGTTCCTCTTGTATCTGTTCTTGAACAGGCGTTTCGACGTCTGGAGTAGTTTGTTCGATTGTGCTATAAAAACAATGAAACTTTTGGTAGCACTTCACATGGCAATTTGTATTTGCGTATTTGGTACATTTGGCAAACAATCGCCATTTGTAGATAGTATGACAAACTATTTGCCTTATTTGCCTATTCGACAAATCTGGTAGATTTCTTAACTAACATGAAAGGAGCCAAATAGGCAAATACGCAAATAAACCGTCCACCTATGTTCATATACATTATTTTAACGCCTTATTTGGCTCATCATACTTGTCAAATATTGTTAAATACTTGTTAAATATTTTTATAATATCAAGTGACGGGACGAACGAGAGCGTGGGCCTGATGGTAAGCTACACGCCTGTCCATAACAGTAGCAGTGCACATCAGAAGTTTACAAGCTTGATTTCGAGATGTATTAGTTTGTGTAACTAAATATTGGGACTTTTTGTCGTGTAATAAATTAATTATTGGTTCATTTATTGTGTCGTTCAATAAAATGTAAGTTCATTTATTGGGTTGTTTAACCAAATACTGGTTTATGTATTGTGCTTTTCAAGTACTGGTGGTATTTAAACCATATAAAATAATTAATGAGTGTTTACGAAACTACGCGTAAAACATAGAGAAATATGAATCTGTGATAAAATACCTTTCTTGTTCAATCACTGGCTCGTCCTCCACACGAACATCTGTATTATCTTCTTTTTCAGCCACTGCTGATTGCACTTCTGTTTCTTTCACTTCATCTTTTATCTGGAATTAACAATTACTTACATAGATGAACTTATATACTAGATGCGACAAAGTAAAAATCAACCCGTTCCACCTTCGGAACGGTTTGTTTTATTTATTATAGACTTATAGCTAGTTGCGGAAACTTTCTTATAATCCGTCGCACCATTTATTTTACTTTTAATCGAACTCGATTACTAATAAATTAGTGATGTCGTAATGCGGTACCAATTCGATTTCTTATAACAAACAATCGATTTTATTTATGAAAAAGTGTTAATCGTAGTTTGAATACGTTCAAAAAAATGAATTCGTTGAACAACGATATAAAGTGAAATTTTCAAATATAATTCCATAAGACTACGCGCAAGTGTCACGCAAGTCATAGTATACCTTAATTGTCACACATTTGTGGAACACGTTGTTGGTTCATATTTATTTAATCTTGCTTGTTCAATGTTTGTTATTTGTTTAGTATGTAACTGTTTGTGTTTATCTGATAAACAAATAAGATAAAATAAAAATGAATTAAAAAAATTAAATGTCGTCACTCACTTTTTGTTCGTCCGGTTGAATAACCTTAATTTCAGTGGTGGGGAACTTGACTTCTGGAAAACCGATCTTGAATGCCGTGCTGTCCACCTCCGGCACATGCTGCTCGTCTGTCGGCGTCTCTATTGCTTGTACCTAAGTTACCAAGTTATTATATTAAAATTATTGAGTATTATATTTGTAGAGGCTAATAATATGCTAAAGTATTCACGGCTAATTGTTTAAATATTTAG